GATCCATATGTTGTTTTGGAACCCATTTACTTTCAAAGGACAAAAAAAATGTATTATGCAAAAAAAGTCAACCATGTAGTCATGTGCATTGATGCATTGAGTAACGCCCCTTGCCCATACCAAGAATGGTAAAGCTGAATTTTCTTTATTCCCGTCATGTCTTGAAGAAGACAGCCATCATGTGACTTTCATGGAAAAGTGTGTGGGATGCCAGAGCTGAAACATTGACAGTCTCAGTGGGGCAGATAGAAACCAGATTATAGGCTGGACATAAAGTATACGGCTCTTCGATAAATGATCAAAAATTCCCTCTAGCTTAAGAACATGTTCGTCATAATATTTTACTGGAATTCCCTGAAGTGGGACTTGAGGATGTGTGGAAATTAAATGGCTGAGCAGTCAGACAAGGTCACTGTGCTGAGCTGAGTCCAAATGTAGATGGCTCTGGTATGGCTATAAAATAGAGCACAGAAAAATTTACAGACTACTTTAATCTATATAGCCTTTATGTGTGTGTATATACTCTCACAGGTTACTTTATAATGTAGAACTGCTCGTTAATGCAAATATCTAATCAGCCAATCACATGGCATACATACATATTGCCATATCCATTACCATCAGATCTCCATGCCAATCTCTCTTTGAACTGTCATGACAGAATATATATATGAGAAATGCTGGATAATCAGTGACAGAGAACGATTTTAATGTTTTACTTTAATGTTATCAAAGTCAAAAACTCTTTATTAAACCATCAAACAAGTCAAACATTAGCACACCATGGGATTGTCTTTCATCCAAATTTCTTATGTCTCTCTAGATGCTTCATTTCTCCTCTCGCTCGGTTCACACACCCTCGTTGGCTTTCTTTACAGAGAGGCTTCAGTATGTGGTGTTAGTGGAGCTGGAGCACAGGATCGATGACCACAGCTGTCAGTTTACTGCAGCAGCAGGGGAGATTACATTAATGTGTTACTAATTGCTGCTAAATCGGCCTGATGTGTGGGGTGAACAGACTCTGTCGATACTCCTGCTCTGGGGACAACTCGATATAGGCAGACACTCTGTCCCACCACAGGACACATTCATATCATACATTAGATAGTTTACAGCGGCTTGTGTATCTATCCATCTATCCATCTACCCATCCATCCATCCATCCATCCATCGTAAAAAATATCCGTGATTTTAACAGTAAAAGACTGTAAAAATGCTACAGTGCAAAACTGTTAATTGGTTAACAGAAAGTTTCCGTACTTTATACGGTAAATACCTGCAATATAATTTTACAGTAAAATACCGTTAAATTTACAGTTTTTGAAAGTGAAAAAGAACAAATCGTTGTATAATTTACAGTGAAAAACCGTAAATTGACATTCCCACAATTCCCTGTGTGACACTTCACATTTGATGTATTTTTGTTGAAATAACTATAGTTCCTCATAGTTGTATTGTTTTTTTTTAAAATCAGTTATGTACATTAGGGTTTTATGTTACATTTAATGTTGTTAAACTAATGTTTATTGCATTTTTTAATTTCTTGTGTGTTACCATGATGGTGTTTAATGTTTGTGTGAATGACACTTTGCAGCTTCTATATTATAAGTCTTACTTAAATAAGTAATCACTTATGATGAGCTGTGATTGCTCAAGTAACTCTCATCACTGCTGTGATGATTGATGATTGTCAGTGTATTACAATGTTCTAAAACAGATATCAAGAAGTTGGTAAATCAACATTTTATCAGAAAATAAAATAGGGTTTATTACTGTAAATTTTAAGTTAAGTCTGTAAAACCATTAACGTTCCTACCGTATTTTTAACTGTAAAGTTCTGGCAACCACAGCTGCCGTTTTTTTTTACCGTAAAATTTACGGTTTATTTTTTACAGTGTTCATCCATCCATCCATCCATCCACCCATCTATATTTTTTTATAACATTTTCTAACACACTTCTCCATGACATGACCATGTTTGTCTTATTTTCATTTTAAATATAATGCTAAAATTTTCACTTTTCTACTCTCTGATAATTTGGGAAGAAAGCACGATGGAAATGTTACTCTAGCAATGAATGCAACTTTGATTTGTTTGGAAAGGGGCAATTAAATGCCACAGAGAATGTGGGTTTTTTTTTCTATTTACTCTTGTATTACTCTACAAGTAAATATGTAGAAACATATTCATGAAGATGCAACTCCTCGTAATTCACAGCTTGATAGCACGCAAATATTTCTGCCCGTTTTCGCGTCATTGTCAGCCTCTGCTTTTTCACTACAGACTGAAGCGTGTGACGCAACATGCCGTTTCTTTAAGTTAATACACTTATACACTTATTTTTGTGACTGTTTGGGGAATTCTACTGAAATGTTCTTCATTAAACATTTCAATACAGAACCCACCTATGCACAAATCATACAAACAGATTTTAAGATCTGTTCCTAAATTATGATTGGGTGGGCAAGGCAGACGTTTGGGTGGGCTCAGCCCTCCCCTGCCCATGCCTATACCGGCCCTCATTTTTTTCAAGCTGTGGATGGTTGTCTTTTCTTTAAAAAAGATCTCAGGTGACCAATAGGTCAGTAAGTATCAGCCTGTTTGGAGATCATCACACACACACACCAACCATCCCAACAAAGATGACCCCTGACTTCAGCACAGCCAGTCATGACCTTGAAGGTCATTCAGGCCACCAGTGCTCGTATAAAAATACTCACAGTCAAGAAAGAGTGTTTAAAAAAGAAAAGAAAATGGAATTTGTTATGTATCACAAGAGCTTTTAATGAGCTGCTCTGCTGCCCACTCTCATGGCCTCCAATGAAAACAGATGGATCTGATGCCCTCAGGCGACTCAGTCTCTGTGTCTGTGGGTTGTCCGAAGGTTACATCAATGCAGTTAGTGCCCACTCATTCTCTCCGGTAAGCCCAGAAACATCCCAGCTTTAGTCTGGGTGCTAAAAGGCTGGTGGTTTGCATCAATGTCCCTGGATTACTTCCCATACAATCAGATGGTTTAACCTTTTTTTTATTATCAGGAATACAAGCTTTGCATGTGCATTATTATTGCTCTTAAAAAGCAATATATGACTGCATATAATTTACCCTGCAAAGTTTATTTTAGATTTTTCACAGGCCCATTGAGGCTTTCTTCAAAAAATGCAAATATTGCTAATACTCAGCACATTTCCCAATACTTATCGTAGGACACTTTTCCAAAGCTCCTCACACAGTTCTCCTACCTTACATTCAGCTTAGTTAATTCATACATTTCTCAAATCAAGTCATTCTTCCATAACACTGGCAAAGATTTGACACGTTGTAACTCATTAAACCTAACAACAGGCAGCATTATACAATGTTTTCTTTTGCAAAAATTTCTTTAGAATTCACTGCAGTATTTGTTACATAGTCCATGTTTACATTATAGTGCAAAATGATTCCTATGTTTTCCCCTTGGCCTTTTATGCTAATGATATTAAAAGAAAAACACCGGTTTAGATGTTCAGCTATACATCAATTTCTTTTGATAGTAGTTCATTTTTTAGATTTGGCAATATATATTTAAATATGATACTACTGTAGAAATGTAGCGCTTAAGTTGAACCATTTTGAAATGAGTATGTAAACTTGAAAATTGGCCTGTAGGTTCATTGTGTTTTTATGTCATTTGAAAGATTTAGTCATTGAATGTTTTTTGAGCCAAAGCAGTGATAAATGATCCTCAGTTTATGATTTTGTGCTCACTTTTGAAAAGAGTTTTGAAAAACTAACCTTGGATTTGGATACAAAAAACCTGTAAACACACTGGTTTGCAGCACACATTCTTCAAGTTATTTACCCATACAGTAGCTAATCAATCGGAAGTCAAAATAAGGTGGATACATGTATGTCATATACACTCAGACCACATATTAGACCACCAGGTCAACATTCATGGGCATACTATTACGATAATAAGGTTTACAAACAAACACAAAGATAAACTGATTTGTAGGCCTATTCTGCAGTGTTTACCTCAGCTTGCATGCAGTATTACAAAACCAAAATGTGCACTCATTCTTTCTGACTTGCTAAAGTGGAGTGAAATGACAAGTTACTGTGGAGGTGAGCATAGAAAGGCTGGAATACTTAATGGCTTGTCAGATTTATTAGCTTGCCAGCTATTGTAATATCCTGCTGTCTCTCCTCACGAGCTGCAATGGCCTGTCAAGCGCCTTTCTCCAGAGCCACAGAACTGCACTGTGAGCTTCCGGTCACAAATTTGGAGCTTTCCATGCTGAAGTGTATCACTGTGCTTATGAATGTTTAAGTAAAAAAGTGAAGTTAGATTTAAACTCTTATAATAGTATGTTTTTGGGGCATTTACCATACTGTTATCATGAATAGGTTATATCATCATATGCCAACCAGATAACCCCGGTTCTGTTTTGGTTGGGAAGGCAGAATGATTTAGTGGTGTATTAACATGTAGCCGACTGTATAGCGGTTCTCCCAGTGTTCCTAATGACTGTTTGTTCTCTAACCTGACAGCTTTGCAAATAAGGCATTAAGCTGGTGTGCCACAGTTTCATTTACATCCTCCTGAAAAATCGATCTGCTGGGCTAATGTTGCCCGGGTAATTAAAGGGATGGAGCTCATAAACGCCCTCTGGATAGGAGTAATAAAAATCAACTTACATTCCCCATGACAGTTTTTCTCAGATGTCCTTTGAATTTCTTGCAGTTAATTGCGTTATGTCTCTTTATCGAGTGCCATGTGAAAGGGTTCAGACTGATCAATGCGTTTTTTCTCCTCGATTACAAAGGCTATTGCTTTTTTTTTTCTTCTGTGCTGTTTTATCTATCTAAGTACTGACCTGAACATTTTATACAATAAAATAGTAGTTTAATTCAAATCTAAAACTCACTTTGGGGTGAACTATCCCTTTTGCAAAAAATTCTTGTTTTTGAAAAGAGTTTGGTTGAGTAACTGCTTCTGTGTTATTTGTCTTTGTAGTTTGACATGCAGCGGATAACACTGGAGGAGCTGAAACACATCCTTTTTCATGCCTTCCGGGACCACCTGACGATGAAGGACATCGAGAACATCATCATCAATGAGGAGGAGAGCTTGAACGAGAACTCGGGGAATTGTCAAACAGAGTTTGAGGGAGGTGAGTGTAAACATTGTGTGTGTGTCAGTAGTCCCGAAATGGATTTTAAGGCCAATTCACACTGCACCGGCAGACGCAGAACAATGCGGAGAATCACCAGATTAATCCGAAAGTATATTTCGGACGCACCGTCCCCGTGATGTAATTTTCGTTATCAGGAGGGTCCGTGGACGTCCGCACACTTAAAGGAGTAGTTCACTTTAAAAAAAACTTTTGCTGATAATTTACTCACCCCCATGTCATCCAAGATGTCCACGTCATTCTTTCTTCAGTCGAAAAGAAATTAAGGGTTTTGATGAAAACATTCCAGGATTTTTCTCCGTATAATGGTCTTCAATGGGAACCAAACGGTTCAAGGTGCAAAAGACAGTTTCAGTGCAAACTGCAAACTGTTCCAAGGGCTTTAAACAATTCCAGACGACGAATAAGGGTCTTATCAAGAGAAACGATCGCTCATTTAAAAAAAAAAAAAGAAAGTTTAAGTTTTATGAGCACAAATGGTCGCCTTGCTCTGTTCTGTGATGCGCGTTCGTGACTCTCCTGTTCGAACTTGTTTATCAAAATGAATGAATCTTTTTTCGTGTCATTTTTTTCATTCAACGAACTAAATGAAAGAGTTGACTCAGGAAAAGATTCGTTCATTTTGATGAACAAGTTTGAATAGGGGAGTCACAAACGCGCATCACACCCAAACCCTAACAGAGCAAGTCGACCATTGAGCTTATAAAACTTAAACTTAGGTTTTTTTTTTGTTTTTGTTTTTTTTAAATGAGCGATCGTTTCGCTTGATAAGACCCTTATTCATCGTCTGGAATCGTTTAAAGCCCTTTGAACAGTTTGCAGTTTGCACTGAAACTGTCTTTTGGACCTTGAACCGTTTGGTTCCCATTGAAGTGCATTATATGGAGAAAAATGCTAGAATGTTTTCATCAAAAAGCTTAATTTCTTTTCAACTCAAGAAAGAAAGACATGGATATCTTGGATGACATGGGGGGTGAGTAAATTATCAGCAAACGTTTTTTTTTTTTTTTACTACTTTAACACTTTGAAAACCACTAGATAGTGTGCACATGCCGAATGTGTCCTTAATTTTGTGTTCCACTCCATCTCGCGCACGCTCAAGTCACTCATACATGCGCTCGCTGTTGTACACACACCTTCTGCTTGGTCACAAGATTTGGGCTGCACACAGACCCTCTTGATAACGAAAATTTTGTCACATGGATAATTTGCTGACCTTTAAACCATACGCATTAAACCTTATCCACTCTAATTGTAAGTGTGAACTCGTGAACCAACAAATGCAGATGAGCATGTTCAGTCGGTGAAAACAAAGCACCCTCTGTCAATGCAAGGTGAATTGACCATTAGTAAATTCACCAGTCAAAATACCAGTTTCCTGGTCTCCTTTAAACTCTTATATATGTATCTAACTTTAAAAACAGTGTTTGTTATGATGTGTAGATGCTTCTCTTGAGTTCATTATAGGGTTGTCTGCTTCAGTCAATTTCCAAACTAATAGGGGCTGATGTTAATGTTGCTGTTTCATGCATATCTCGCTGCACCTCATCTCATCCTGTGATGAATAGCACAATGTTCCCCATAGTAATACACAGGGTTAATGGTCTTTTACAGTATGTGATATTCACAGCCTATTGCCATGAGGTGCAATTTTTAGAAGCTTATTTCTTGGTTATTAAATCAGAGGAGTGAATTGAAAATGTTAGTTTAGATTTTGAGTAGGCAGCTCATTTCCAGATTCATGAGTGGGTGTCGTCACTGCATCTACAGGGTCACAGGAGCTCACTGTCGCATATGCTACGCTACATTATGAGATCTCCAGAAACAAACTAATCATCTTATGAAACTTGTGAAAATGATTTTTGAAATTATGACGCAAACACACTATTTTGAGCCTATGCAACTCTTTGAGTGCCTCAGAACATTTGAAACGATGTTTTCCTCTGAAAACGATTTTAAACCTAGTGAATGAATAGGACCATGAACATATGTGTTTATATAGTGGCCATTAAGGCCATATGACCAGCTCTATCTTGTATAGAGCCCCGCACACATAACGTGGGGAAAAAATATATATTTTTGTCGCAAATTATAAATGTAGAATTAATTCCCACGACTTATTCATTCATTGTTTTGTTAAAACGTGGCCACAACTTATTAATTCGTTCCCTCGTTTGTCATGTGTCACTATAAAATGCAAAGTTATTAGAACTAGGGATCAAGAGAATAAATAAATGCTGAATAGAATTAGCAGTCATCTTCTCTGCCATAATAGTTCATCTTTATATGTCTTTATATTAGCCTATCAGTTTTTAATGATTTTAAATAGTACTTCAATTAGTTAAAATGTTGCAACAATTAACATTAGAAAGAATTTTATGCCGTATCATGTGTTTTTTTTTTTTTTTTTAGAAAGTGGTGTCTAGTTATCATCTCTGTAAATGGAAGGTCAAGTTGAGCACATTGCATTTTCCGATTAAAGGGATTGTTCATCCAAAAATCTAAATTCTGTCATCATTTACTCACCCTTAAGTTATTCCTCTGCTGAACACAAAAGGAGATATTTTGAAGAATGTCAGTGACCTTTTTGACCACTTTTTTTCCATTCTGGCACATTGCTTTCCATAAAAAGTGACTATACTGCAATTAGATCCTAAAAACTTTTTAGCAAGCAATGCAATATTGTAATGAATTTCTTTTAAATATGATTCCAGTGTTCAATATGTTGGCGTATAGAACACGCTAGGACATTGTTACCATTGTAGGGGTCAAGCACATCCCTTGTGCCAAAGCCTCGAGTCTCTGTCCTACCAGCAGTAACAGATGTCCACAGCGCTAAAGCAACGCTCATGATGCGCACACTCTGTGTTTTTATGAATCATTCATGGAGGCACCTGGGCCGACCTCATGTGTTGTTAAAAGGCCACACACTGAGACTATGTATCTAGAGACACAAATTCTTTAACACAAACTATATGATGTCTAGAATTATCCAAGCAACAGATTTAGCGTATTATTTGGTGATGCTAGTGACACAGAAATGGCATACTTAAGCTTTACAGCAGCAGTATCACAAGATTTCTTTTTGTTGAGAGGGTTTTTGTTCTTATGAAACACTTTAGCATACAGTACTTCTGGAAATATGTGGTGGCCTACTTATTATGGAATAATATTCTTTAAAAGAATATACCTAAGTATGAACACACAATTGCATGCTAATTGCAAAGATTTTCAAATATATTAAAGAGTCAAATTTATATTAAATGCAGTTATATCTGAACTTTAGAGCGACCCACTTAAGTAGGACTCAATTAATTCCATAATTTATTTTATTGTTTTTACAAATATGGTTAGTTAGACAGTACTGCTGAATGTACTGACAAGAATTTATTCTTAATATAGGTATGATGACAAAATTTTCAAACACCTCTAAGCTCAAAATTAATCACATGACTGCACAGAGCTGAAAATTCCCGTTAAAATGACACATGGATTGTGAAAATTGGTTGAGGATTGAGAAAGTAATGATATTTATAACATCCTGGATAATATTAAAATAATATACATTAGTTACAATAGAAAGCATGTGATCGAAAATTCCTATTATTCACGTTTTTGCTGTAATTTCCTCATTTTATCAGATATTTGCATGAAATTTGAACAGAAGGTAGATTTTAGTTAATTCTTTTAAATGAAACCATGAACATTTACTTTAGTTGGAATGGGCATTAGACCCTTCACGAAAAACAATAATAATTATTAAGCGTTCATTCATATTCATACACATTTATTTTCAAAATACAAGCAAAGACAACTTTTTATTACTATTACTATTAATTGTGAATTCATATTTATACATGCTTAAATATGCAAATATACATTCATATTCATTCTTTTTTTTCTAACAAAAAAGTGATTCCCAAACAGGGGTATCCACATTGCTACATGGAAATATTTAATAATTTATTGGAAGTACTGAGAATATTTACTTATCTTGGAAAATGCAAGAAGAAAATTCCTGAGAATAATACATTTTCAAATTAAGGAGATTAAATAAAAAGATTTTCATTTCATAATCAGTTATGATGTAAACTAATGCTATTATTATGTCAGGAAAACCATGAGATGCATATTAAACTACATAGCATCAGTAATAATTTCCAGGAGAACACCGTGAGAATTAGTTTTTTTGGTTTGTTTTTTTAGAACGCTGCTAGTTTCTCTGACAGGACGTTCGCTAATCTCATCACAAATGTGACCAACAATATTTCCGCGATTTATTTAAGTACATTCTCCACCATGGATTTCGATGAAACTTCGTCAGTACCGAGATAAAAGGTATATATTTATGTCCACCTACCTTTCATTAGTGTCCAAAAGCTTAGATGAGCTCACCGACCGGTTGAAAGCCACTCAAATGTTCCGTGAGTTGCGGTGATCTGAAAACACCTCAGGGCTGAAAGCTCGAAATGTCTAATGCTTCCCGGGGTTGTACTCGTCGTAGTTACTATCGTATTCAGGAAAAACATATTCACACCAGGCGGCGAGGAGTGGATATTGCATGACACACATCTAAACAGTACCGCAGAGTTTGGAACAAATTATTGAGGCAGAATGTCCGCCGTGCGCGGTTGCTATGTCAACATACCTACTTAATATGAATTCTGCGAAATCAAGGCATCATTAAAGCTACGCCTTAGTTTTGAATAAACGACCTCTAGTGGCGAAAAATTACATAGTGTGCCTTTAAGTACACTTAATACACTTTTTATTTCATTAGTTTTATATGATCTGCAAGTATGTTTTTTTTTAAATATGCTTTTAAGATTTGAAGTACACAAGTGCTCATTCAGTGCAATTAAGCGCACTTCTTTTCCAGTACCCTTACAAAACATGCTGAGCATGCTGCGAGACATTTTATCTCGACTTCTATCTTGCTGCCATTTGGAAAGGCAAGAGTCGGGCAAAATCAAATTCTCAAAGCAAAACACACTCAGGCAGAAGAGTACCTATGTTTGCTCATTATCATGCCTCCACTTTGCCGTAACCAGGTTAGTGATTGGGAGAGGGGCGGGACTGTGCCGGAAAGAGGACTGGAACGGAAAATGGTATCACAGAGTGAGGCTGGCACACAAAAAGTCTCCATGTGTGTTCCAAAAAACTGTCACCATTCTCAACCCAGACCCCACGCTTGTGAGCCGAGCAGCCACATGTGCTCAGGTGAACTGTATCCACCACCTCGCAGCTGCGCAAGAAACGCTGCTTTATTTAGACCAGTCATATTGGCAGATGAAAGGCGGTCGGCTAGAATGCAAATTGACACCTACACATTCAGACAGAAGTAGAAAATGCATTCAGATTCACATTTCCTAAGGATCTCAGGACTAAATCGCTGTTTTTGTGTCATTGCAGTTCATCCTAAAAAGAAGAATCGACAGACGTGCGTGCGCAAGAGCCTGATATGCGCTTTCGCCATGGCCTTCATCATCAGCGTCATGCTCATCGCGGCCAATCAGATGCTGCGCAACGGCATGGAGTAGCGACACCACTGTGAGCGGGGCCGAGCCTGCATGTGCATGTCTGTCGATGGAGATGTTGAAACTAACAAATAAACACTCGAGAGACAAAACCAAACACCTCACTACTGAAAAGAGGAGCTTTTTGTTCTTTTCTCTTTTTTTATATGTATTCTCCTGTTACTTTTCCACGCGGACTAAGTGACGCAGGAAGTGTGCGGCGAGCCAAGCCAGCATGTTACACGGGGCCTCATCTCTCAGGCAAGGACTTTAAAGGGCTGACTTTCTGCTTGTTTCGTGCCACCTCTGTTCCCTAATGCAATAACACGCAGGAGTTCATAAGCACCTCTCCTGCAACGCCGTCTCCTCCGTGTCTCCAGATATTTCAGCCGGGATTCTGCTGGATTCGGGTCTGATGTCGATGTTGGAAGGCAAAAGTAATTGGCAACTCATTACACCTTTGTGGAGGGAGGGTTACAGCATCCACTCTGGAGACTATTTATGTCTGCTCTTGCCAGAGTTCTTCTCTGGTTTGGGGGATGGTGGGAGGCTGAGGAAGGAGAGTTCGTTGAAGACCATAATTAAATTCATAGTCGTCAGCTTCAAAAATTCATGAGCCTGACTCATAGTTTTGATCATTTCGAATCGGTTCTGCTATTTGATTGTGCAATCTTACCATGTCTAATGCTTTTTCTGAAGTGGTTTGTAATGAACACGCCCACGTGAAATATTGAAACGCCACAGAAAGTTGCACAGATTTCCACAGAATTGGAAATACCGTCATTTAGTACTCATTCCATCCCCACTATGTTTGTTCAGTACATACTGGTGGAGCATGGCTCTAGAAACAGGTTCGATTCCCAGGGAATGCACATAATTATATATATAAAAAAAAAAATAGAGACAGACCGATAAAGGATTTTGAAGGCCGATACAAATATTTGTTGGTTAAAATTCGATATTCCGATATATCGGCCGATATTTTTTTAATTTTCCAGAAACGCGCAACAAAACATTAACAGATTTCCCTAACATTAGTTATTTGTAGTTATTTATGAGTTTTAACTAAAATAATATGATAAAGCATTTTAAAGCATTTTATTGTCACAACAGAATAGAGGAACATTGAAATATATTAAAGTTCTGATAAATAAAATAATAATTAGTCCCTACATTGCCTTATAAGCTACCTGCAACCTGGATCAGCAGGATGTGTGGCGCGTTATACACGAGTGTTGCCAACAGGGACGGTGTAGAGTGCCCTCTGGTGGACAAACTATACAACTCCAACACTCTTGACATGGTTGAAGCGTGTTTCGTCCGTTTTTATTTTATTTTTGAAATATTCATTTATCGACCATTATAACTGCCGATGCCGATAGTTTGAAAAATGCTTAATATCGGCCTGCCGATAAATCATTATAGCTCTAGTCCCGAATGCATTGTCGGTTGCTTTTGATAAAAGAGTCTACCAAATGCATTGATGGAATTGCTAAAATAAATAATATTTTGCTTTGTTTACTTGTAAAAATATCAAAGTTTTCTTAAAACATTATTCGCAAAATTGCATAAAATATGGAGATTTATATATTTTAAAGAATATATATTCTGTAAACAATTATATATTTAATTATATATTATAAAGGTTAAATTAAATTACAGACGTTTTATTTTTTAATTTTTATTTTGTGTTAATGAAAAAATACTCGACATGAAGGGAAAATATGAATATTGTGGCCATAAACCATATTTGAAATCAATTAACATGACGTAATTAGCACGTTTTACTAATTCGTACCATCCTTTTGAGTAAATCGTGCACACAATATAATAATATAAAAAAATATAAAGGCCAAGATTTAGCTTCTAAAACAAGAGGACAAATTCTTAATTCATGCTTCAGTTTTGTAATATATATTATGTTTGTGTATGTGTAGATATATTATCTTATACAGTATCTTGTTTTAAGAGTATTTTGATATTTTTAATGGGAAACAAGAGTAAGATACTGATGAACGAAAACAATTTTAGCTAATTTGATTACGTTTTCGGATACCAATATGACTGTGGTACACTCAGGTCTAAAGGTTTAAGTCCATTCCAAAATATTTTAGATATAAAATATTAGATCAAAAAATGTTGCCAGATTCTCTCTTAACCTAGTAATGTGTGGAGAACACAATGTGTGCTTTCTTGGGGTTTGCAGTACGTCAAGGCGTTTGATGTGGCTTATTGCTTTTTCAGGGTTATACTTGTTTAGATGCACTTTTTCAGCATTCCTGAAAGGTTTAGGATGGCTCTCGGATTTTTCTAGTAATGAGCTTGGGTTGTTTAAATAGGGGCAGTGTTTTACCAGTGTATCAACCACCAAACCCATCAGAAAAATCGTAGTTATGTGTATGTTCATATTGCATCTTAGTCTCTGTGTCTGCATTAAAGCCACGGTAGCATTGCATTGTTGATGTTTTAAAAGATGTGTACAGCCACAGAAATGTAATGAAGATGCTTCAAGTCTTCAAAAACAGGATTGTATAAAGAAAAAGAATGATAATGGAAGATGACTGTATCTTTCCCATTGGTGCGATGGCTAAAACTCTGTGCCTGATTCAGTTCTTTTATTTGTGTTTCATGAATGTCAGTCTCCTTTAGACACCTGTAGAAAACACACTGGTGTATGTTCCCCACCACGTTTCCTGAGGTCTGCTTCTACTTTATTATGCATGTGAATTAGCAGAACTCTGTAAATAGAGCTTTACATGCGTGTTTTCTGTTTGTGCATGATAGTTTAAAACGGTACAATCTGCACAGATCTTGTCAGGCCTACTGAGGGACCGGCTGAAAACAACACATGTCTGCCAGCTCTCCTTTCTGACTAAAGCCATATTTGTCTTCACCGGTGTATTGAAGAGAATAAAGCTGAATACACTGAAATTATAAAGGTATAATGTTAGTCCAACCCTTTTTTTCCTCATTCAAATGTTGATCCATGTGCTGTTGAAGCGAGTGGGCATTTCATTTTGGTACAATAGCGACACCTGGTGGTTTGAACTGATGAATTCATTGTGTTTGTCCTCATAATGTCCTTGTCTGATCCAGAATTTAACATTAGCTTGTAGCATTCAACTAAAGATCTGGATGGGTTGATAAAATAATATATATACTATGTGTTTGCATATTTAGATTATTTTGATCTCCACAATTATGTGGCGAATGTAAAAAATGATACATGAATTATATTTTGGAGTTGGAGGATTGGGTTGGGGTTTCAGAAATGTAGGAATGTTAATAATAATTATTTCCGTTTATGTCACATTATCATATTTAGGCTAGAGACAATATTGTGAAATGACCTTTTTAACAATTAGGGCAATAATGGTGTGAATGAAATCTCCCAAGAAATTAGACTGAACATAAGAAAGACAGAGTTGTGTATTTAAAGTGGGTTGTATTTCAAATGAAGACTTGAGTTTGGGAAACAAGGGTGAGCCTAATTAGCCTAATTGTAAGAAAAAAATGTATATACCCATATTCACTTAATGATAGAGCTGTACACTTTGCATGCAGAATATTTATCCATGTAGTTTAAGACTAGCTGCCCATAGATGATTTTAATATACCTATTCCAACATGTACAGGACAAATGCATAGAGTTTATGCAATAAAAAGCATTTTTGTAATATTTGTGGCATCTTCACTGATTTCCTACTGTTTCCTAAAAAATAAAATAAACATGATATTGCACCGTTAATACGTTACTGATCAGGCTGTATTAATAACCCTGTTTTTGTTGTACTCTGTATCATCATGATCAATGCAGTGCTGTAAAAACAAATGGTCCACTTTATTATGAGTGCATGATTTGAATAGATGGGCATAAACATAGATATTGTGCACTGTCACAATGAAGGCCACTGCAGAGTCAACCGCTGAGTCTCTGAGCAACAGACAGCAGTGGGGTTTTAGAATCGACTGAGTCAATGATTCAGTGACTAACTCATAAATACAGTCAATTCTCTCCATCTATTGCATAACGATGCCGTGTGCTTCCACCTACTGGAGGGACCAGGTCACAACACACTTTAGAGTTACTTCAATAGACCTTATTCAGAGCAGTGCATGACAGTGTTTCAATGGCATCCACTGACAGATTACAAATCTGTAAATAAAAAAAACTCTTAGATCACATATCCACAGCTCATATTGTAAGGGGTTTTATGTCTACTGAAGTTCCTTGGAAAGATATGTTTGCAGTGTTTTGTCAGCAGAACAATATAACAGGAGGCTATAGTCCTACTACAACTCAGAGATCACTTGTTTTCATTCCAGTTAAAAGATGGCGCTGCTGTGAATAGGCCTATCCACGTCATTTTTCACAGGTGTTTTCTGTGAATGTGCGTGATTTGTGATGTATTATAGGCCTAAATAACGAGAAAAATCAAAGTGCAGGAAACTGCTAATTTGTTTGAACTACAAACCAGCGTATTTATATGGTAATTAAGAGATTACATGTAGGCTACACCTATTATAGTTGGAAGCGAATTACACGGAAGCACAGAGCACGGAAGCCAGGCAGATTAAAATTACAAATGGCCGCGCCCACTCTTACCTGAAAAAGGCATAAACAGTAAAAGTAAAAGGTGGACTTTGCACTAGCCTACTAAAACAATCGTGCCGTGGAGTAGCGTAGCGATAACGAAACTGACGAAGAAGTCGTGAATAACTTAAATTATATTCCACGAACCCCAGAATCACAAGACAAAATACGGAAATCAGCGTGGGGGAAGATGATTGATTTTAAGGTGAGATTCTTAAATGAGTAAAATGTTCAATGAGGATATTACATTGTACAGTAGGCTACATACCCTACAGCACATTATGTTAATTTAATAATTTCCTTAAACATAAAAATACCTGTGATCTGCCCTAGGTCGGGTGTGCGAGCACATACGCGCTCGTCCAATCAAATTTGAACACCAGAGCCAAAATTGACTGAGAGAGCACAGACAAATGGTAAGTGATGATTTTTTTGTTGTTGTTGTTGCCAAAATATGAAGTCATTACCACACTTATTCACAAACATAAGCCATATCTCTCAGCTCTGAGGGTGAATCAAAAAGTTAATGGACCAGTAATGAATGATGCTCAATATTAACAGTGATGAACTATGGAGGCGTATCATATTTTAAAATGATTTACGCTTGTGCTGTGAAGTCCAAAGTCATTATGTGTATTTGAGAGCTGCTTCACAGCTTATCATAAAATGAAACAAGTCTCTACAAAGAAAATCCATAAACCATACAACATAAACTGTCTACACTGCCTAATTTGAGTTGGAAATGCATAATAAGCAGCGGTTAACAGCTCTCAAACATGTGGCACGGCTCACATGACTGGGAGTTGTCAGTCACTGATAGAGCCAGAAGCATCACAGCAGGAGAGGTTTGGCCCAGTGGTGGGAGGCGCTCGGAGGGTCGATTAGTATGCACAGTTGATGTTCTTTTAAGTTAGAACAGCCTTACCATTGCTGAAGGAAGGATTGTTTTTGCGTGAGGAAGCTCAGCTGGTGCTTTTTGACACAACCTCACTGGAACATCGTAGTGTTTGCCACAAATTCAAATGACACCCTAAAATGTTTTTGATCTTTAGATATGCTGTGTTGTTGCCAACAATTCCTCAGGTAAAGTTGCACTTCTATAGGGCGTTAAACTCCTCTTTTAGACACTGAGCTCTACAACTGTGCAGTTCACCATTTTATTCAAATCAGTCCTATTCAAAATGGAAGACATACGTGTGCAATTACATCTGAAGAAAATGTAGTTGCATAGGTTATGACTCATTTAACGTGTTCTTGTGTAAGTTAGTCGACAATCCCTGACGATCATTTTCCCATATTCCCTTCGCCTACATACTGGCCTTGTTGTTTTAGTGTGGTTCAAAATAACAGTATGACTACTACTGGATCCATTCAGCAGAAGATAGAGCTCAGTTACCATAGTTACTGTTAAACTGCACATATCATAATGCTATTCTCATGAAGGGCTACTGTATAAAAAATATGCAATAAATAAAGTTTTTTCGAGAGCAAAACAGAAATTGGACTGGGATCCAAAGCTGCTGATAGTGGGAACCTAAAAACAAGAGAATGGAAGAAGAAAAACAGATGGTACAAGTCTAAATAAAGGCTTCATGAACCTGTGTTTCAGGATACAAACTAAATGTTCATGTATTTAATTTAAGAGTAGATTTAAATGATGCATACAATAATGTATAGAGTACTTGCAATACAATAGTCAATCATTTAGTTGTCTTTTGGTTTCAGCACACAAAATTCGAGTCACATGTTTGTTCTCATGGTTGAACCTCAAATATCCAATTGCAAACTAAAGGGACTTAATTGCATTGAGGTTACTTTAGGAACTGTTGATGTTCTTTAGAGTTCTTCCAGGAACTTATGGAATCCAACGTTCCTCAGAGAACTGTCCTTTTGGAAAGGATGTCTAGAGTTTCTCCAGAACCTGAATGGTGCCTCAAATATCTTTTAATATTTTGTAACGTGGAATGTAGCAAGACCGAAAACTAAACAAACGCGAACAAGATCCGCACCCCTTTGGCTAGAGTTCCACAAAACTGAATCAAGTTCCCAAACACTTGATGAAGGCCATTGAGATTTCCAACTTTCTAAGGGCACTGACTCACTGCCCTTGGTCCTGTTTCATTAAATTCTTGATGTTCCACTTCTGGCCAGTGCAGGAACGCAGGATCAGAGCGTAGCCGAAGTAGACATTAGCCGGCACTACCTCGAGACAGCGTCTTGTAGCTCGGTTGATGATTGATTCATTCTTCAGGGAACAAAAGTAAAAAGAATCATTTTACTGACCAAAGGCAAAAGGACAATTTTTTACAACGTGCTCTATATAAAACGTGACCCTTTCACCTGTGCAAAGTGCCAAGTTTTCTGGCGTACGCTAGAGACTTTCTCGCAGTTCAGGAGCTGTGGGTAGTTGCTGATTTTATCATCCACCACACACCGAGTGTCTTCGCCAGTGCTTCCCAGAGGACCCAGGAAAAGATAACCCTCCTTAGTGTAGCGACCCAGCTACAAAATAGACCACAGTGGGGATAGTGTGAATTTATTTAATTCAGTGATTTGGTAACTAGGTCACTGAGTCATTCAGGGGCTTTTTGGCATCCTAAGCTGATAATGTTTGCCAGATAGTTTTTGGCAGTTATGTTGAGATTTAATTTATTATAATTATTAGCAGGATCAGGGACCAGAGCCGATAAGAAAACTGGTCAAGAATAGAATTCAATTGAATTCAAAACAGAAAATAGAGATGTTTTCTTATTGCTTAGTTGCAATGAACTCCCTCTAGGCGTAACCTATTTCCTGTGTGCAGGGTGAGTAGGGGTTAATTGGAGGTCAGGTATAGCTGTGAGGAGCGTGACTCTACCTGAGGGCCCCAGCCATGGCATGGGTGCAGAGTTGCCGTGTGGTTTTCCTTTATGCCCTGGTCCACACACAGATGAGTCACGTTGGTATTGCGAATCTAGAAAACATTAAAAAAAAAACTAAGCAGGTGATTGTTTGGCCCACTTTTTGTTTGTTAATAAGTTGTTCTCTTACTATGGAACATGTTTGGCTAAGCCTTTTTATTATAAGAGCTAAATAACAATGTTAAATTGATCAAATATTTTACTCACCTTGATACCATAACACTTTCTTTCTCCCAAAGGAGATAATTGGAAGAAGGTTCAAATTGTTTGTTTTTTTCTATACTACAGAAGTGAATGGTGAACATTTGTGTGAGGAACAGACTGAAATTCCAGTCAGTTTTGGCAGTTTGATGTCACAAACCTCACTTAAGTTAAATTTTGTGACTATTTTTTAATAAACACATATAACCTGAGAGGTGAAGTAAGCGGTGGTGATTTGAGGTGATTTGTAAGCTAAATAATTATGTTAAATTTGGTTTACTCCTCACACTGTGCAATCGTTTGGACTTTATTTACTTTTATAGTGATTTTTGTCACTTTTTTAAGCTTGACAGTAGAGCCCGACCGATAAAGGATTTTGAAGGCCGATACCGATACAAATATTTTGGGGTTTTAAAATCCGATATTCCGATATATCGGCCGATTTTTATTTTTTTATTTTTTATTTTTTTTATTTATTTTTTTATTTTTTTTATAAAATATTGTTGGATTTCACACACGTGTAAAAGAAAAGCTAACTTTTCTGCACAAGATACGTTTGATACTTTTTCTCTATGTCTAAATGTTCACTTCTCGCAAGGATAACTTACGTTTTACAATGCAGGGACTGAAACTAGAGATATGCTAGTTATAAATACAGTAATCATTACTTTATTTAGGCATAAAAAGTTCATTGTGGTTTCCAAGCTCATTAATGTTAACTTTAGCGGTCTTCCACTGATGATAGTGGCATTAGCTAGATTTGTGGTTAGCTAGTCTATGATGAGCCATAATTTAGCAATAGATGACATCATACTGCAAATTGTAAAACATACATTTTTAATATAACAGGCCAAGGAGAGATAATTGAAGCGTGTTTCATCCGTTTTTATTTTATTTTTTAAATATTCATTTATCGGCCATTATAACTGCCGATACCGATGTTTTGGAAAATGCCTAATATCGGCTGGCCGATATATCGGTCTGGCTCTACTTGACAGCCCCAGTCTACATTCACTTTCATTGTATGGAAAAGTGTGCTGAGGACATTCTTAAAACAAAAAGTTTTGTTTCATTGAAAAAATCATGCAGGTTTGAAGGACATGAGGGTGAGTAAATCATTTTTGGTTGAAATAACCATTTAAAAATAACTAAGTGAAGAAGGTTCTTCCAATAAAACCTGTGGCTGGCAACCGTGAGACCCAATCAATACCAAGTGTAAAGGTTCAGTCAATTTGTGAACATTTTTTATCTATTGTCATTAGTGTATCGATGTATGAATCACAGTTCACACAGAAGTCACTTTCAAACTAAGCAGCTTTCTGTTGATCAACATGGCGAATCAACATGACCAAATTGAACTGTTGTGAAACCTGATGGGCGGAAATCTTTTGCCTATGAATATTTGCAGAACATTGGCAAATTTGAGCCATCTTTAGTCATTAGTGACACTTACTTCTCCATAAAAGAGAGTGTTGTTGTATCTCCTCATCTCTGGATAGATATTGTCGAGGTACCACTCAAAGCTTTTGCACTGGAGTCTTTCCCTGAGCGCTAGTCTCTGGGATACGTCTCCATAGTCAATGCCATGGTTCTGTAGAGACAAAAAAGTAAAATTACAAAATGTTATACTTTTTATTACAACCTATTATAATAGTGAAAATATTTTATGTGTTTACCTTCATTGGGAGGTTCCATGCCAAATAGACATTAGATTTGTATTGGTCCATCCAGACTTCTGCCACTCGAAGAGCATTGCGTCTAGTGTGAAAGGCGATGTTACTGTGGTAGGGCTTTTTTGTTCTAGCAATATGGGCCACTCTGGAACAGGGCAGAACTTCCATGCTGCCCCCACACAGCCAAACCTGGGATTTGAAAATATACACACACCTAGTTCAGACATAATTTTAAAGGGAAAAAAGGTAAAAAATCATTTTAAATGAAGGTTCTGTGGACTGAGCGTAGAAGGCTAAGTTATGAATGCTCTACTTTAGTGGAGGGATGTGGGTGGCATACTAACCCTGATTCCCAGCTCTATATTTTCGCCTCCATACACGTCCATCCCAGCATCCAGAAGGCCCAACTCCCCAAAGTATTCCCGGTTTACCACAAAAGAGCAGCCTATCATTGCGGGCGTCCTAAAAATACAGATTTTACACTTTGTATTTTCAGTTTTGTTTTGTCTCTGATATACTGATTTATTAATGAAGAAATGATGAGGTCAGTTACAGATAATTATAAATAATTTAAAATAATATGAAATTGAAAGCAGTGAAAAATAAAATGGTTTTTTGTATATATATTTTAACATATTCTTATTTTATTTATTTTTCAAATTTGTTTTATTTTAAATTGATTTTTTTTTTCAAACTGATTTTGTGAATTTGTTACATTTTCAAAGGAATTCTTTATTGTGAGATCTTTTTGCATTTAAGAATATATAGTAAGCACTTTTACACTGTATTAAGACCACTTGTGACCGTCCATTAGTTTTTTGTGTTATCTCTGGTCTGAACTGTGATTGCAGAATTGCAGTGCCAAAGATACACAATGTGAAAAAATACTGTGCTAGAATATTGTAGTGAGTTGATTAGCAACCGAAAACCAATCACAAACTAAACAATGCTTACCTCATTAAATATTAATATGCTTTGTACAGCCCCATATACTTTCTATTGCACTCTGTTCACCATCAATCTTAGAGTAAAGTGAAACGCTTAAAAAAACTCCAATGAATTATCCTCATATTCTTTGTATTCTTTTCTATCTTTTTTTCCCCCAAAAAATTAAGACAACCAGAGACACATGAAGTGACATTTCCAATTTCAAAGCTGGACAAGCAACTGAACCTGCACATATGTATATGAACTTTTGCCACCTTGCTACCCAATATTAATTAATAACCCATAGTATGAACAATGTGAAACCTAGGATTGCGTTCAGAATGTGAAAAGTCCAGTAGGATCATACCTGATGGGTGCAGAAGTGTCCCCTTCATCCCACCACTGTTTCGGTGGGCTAATGTACATACACCAGAGCTCCCAGTTATAGCCGTGGCCTGAGTTCTCATAACGCTCCAGCTCAAACGTCTCGTCTTTAATGTTATCTATGGACGGCAGGATGATTCTCTTGTGGTTCTCCTTGATTCTAGACAGAACAGGTTCAGCCCTGACAAGGGGATGTAGAGGTTAGAATCAATATAAGCAAAGCTGTGTTTCACAGTGCTAACAACACTTCTTCAGCTCTGATGTGGAGCTAAATCTAGTCTTGGCTTGAGAATGTGTTAGTGTGTGTTTCTCACCTCACATCAGCCAATTAGATGGACCAACAGAGGGCACATGAACCCTGTTTACACATAGTATTAAAATCTGTTCCATCTGAACAGAAGCGCACAGCACTAAATATAGGCGTGAATAGGGTCCACAACGCTTAATAATCTGATGACAGAAAACCCATTTATAGGTTGTCAAAAAAAGCATGTGACGACATGCTGGGGGAAAGAAAAACATTTAAAACAGCCCAATATGGTATGGTCTTAAGATGCTGGTCTTAGTTGCTCTCAGGTTAGTTTTACTAACTTTCAGATGGTCCTAAACCAGTCAAGCACTGGTTCTGCAAGACTGGGAGTTCAGCTAGACCTTCTGAAGGACCAGGATGTAAGACTATCTTAACTTATTGTCTTATCTTGGGGTCCATGAGATGTTTTGACATGACATTTGTCATTTTTTCAGTTGCTTATAAACATATTAATGGCAAAGGTGTAATTACACTCTATTTAGCACAAACAGGGCTACCATAATATATGAGCAACATGTATGTACGTTAGTATTTTCGAGAGAATATTGTTTATGCATGGTTATTGAAAAAACTAAAACTTAAAGTTTCGGAAATAAGGCCACAAAACACATACTAAATATCTATCCACAAGACGTTTGACTAATGGATGTTGTCGCCTAGAGTTTTTGCTTCAAAATGATCTGAAAATCATCCTGTCTAATTATGTACACAAAACAATACATTGGTTTAAATTTTGTAAGACACCTTTTGTTTGGAAAGGCAATATGCGAGGGGGCGTGTATGCTTGTGAGTATCCTGAATAATGCCCTGTTTCACACCTGAGAAACCAGCAAACCATTTTAAGCTGGTTTATTCCCTAGCGACTGATACTAGAGACTGCAGTCTTTAGTCTATGCTTTTTCTTTCTTATTTTGACTTCATAAACGCACTTTACCACTTACAAAACGATTAATGTATATGAAGTCACATATTTAGAGACCCCCCACTTGATATCCAATCAGAAGTAACAAGAAACATTTTATATGCATGTTACTATTGATTGTAAATAGCTATCTGTATCAGCTGAAAACTTGTTTAGATCACCCAAGATGGATGTTAATACCAGGTGTAAACAAAGCCCGAGGAGTCAAAGTGAGAGTAAGACCATCGATAAAACCACCAGCATCACGTAGCAATTGCTAGATTCTCACCATGCCGGCGTGAACTCAACATGGGCATCAAAGAAGCCAGTCACCTCCCCGGTGGCCACTTTCCAGCCCTCGATGCGAGCTCGGATGAGGCCCTCTCTCTTCTGATTGCGCACTATTTTGATAAGACCCGGGTAGCGCTTGTTGACGTACTCCTCCAGTGGCCCTTTCAGTTGCACTGTCATGCATAAACACACACACATAAACGGTAAAGAGGGAGAAATCTCGTTTCATGGTGCATGAGTGCTTGTCGTTGTGTTTAAGCCACACCAGAGGGATTGTATCCTACGCCAAAACCCTTCCTTACCTTTGATCTGTGCTACGGGGATCCACACCATCCCCCTCGAAAACACGTTCTAGGAAAGTGTTCCCTTTTCCCCATATTAAACACTGTCAAGTGACAAATTGTGAATCACTGACATTATGAGGACAGAAATGAGTGTGTTTCTCGCCTGCCCCCTCATTTTAGCAAATGCAGGCTTTTCCCCACTGCGCTGATGGACGGTTGGCCCTCCGCCACCGGCTCATGCCAACAATGTGATGGAAATTGAACTGTCTCTCTAGGAAGACCTGAGCACACACTTTGATACAATAGACAAGCATAGCCATGCGCAATGTGAGCAAAGGGTGCTTTGGCTAAATTCTCCAGTTTTTCAGTGTTGACACTCATGCTCAAATAGAGCACATGTTAGAATGGTTTAAGAAACTAGATATTTTTCTACTTGCTATGTGGATTCTATGGTGTTCTTAAGGGTTTTTAGTTCATTACTATACAGTTGCAAGATGGAACCAAAAGAACCCAGCAATCTAATGGTGTGATCAAGTCCTTTTGGACGATCAGTTAAATGCACATGGCCATAATTTTGGGTGGGAAACTCTGGATTTTCTTTGATCCCAGAGTTTCCGAATTAGGGTCATGTTATTGAGAATACTTGGAAGATACAATGGTTGCAGAATTTGTAGTTGACAGTAAATTTGTTAAATATGTATGAAATTACTATTTGATATTATTGTACAGTTAAGATGGGAGGGAACTCTTGTAAAAGTTCGAAGAACATATTTTTGTTAGCTGTGTGGAATTGTATCTATGGAAGCTTGTTTTCGCCACAGAATAAAACATTTTATTCGATAATTGTGACTTTTTATCTCACAATCGCAAGTTTACATCTTGCAGTTCTGACTTTACTTCTCAGAATTGCGAAATATAAACTCACAATTGTTGTACGAGTAAAGTTAAAAAACCTTTCTGATTTTTTTGTAGAAAAGGTACATCGACATTTTGCTCCAATCCAAGTTATTTGAACGCACTGACATCGTAATTACGACTTTCCAACTAGTAAATAGAAATACAGACTTGTTTTTTTCAAACCATTTTTAATGGTTCACCAGAGAAAACTTTTTGAATAACCACTAAATATGTTTTTGTACCTTGTTGATTAAAGCCAACATTATCTTACCGTCATCACTGTTGTCATCCACCAAGATGATCTCTTTTAAAAGATGAGCCGGTGTGTGGTTGACAGCTGAATGAACAGAGCGCAGGATGACGGACAACGCCTCATTTACAAAGATGAAGATGATGGAAATCTGTGGCAGGTCACGGGGATAAAAGGCCTTTTTGCATCTATATAAACACAGATAGTACATTCACAGAAGATCTTCTCAATATCTTTGAAACGAATCACCTACTTGAAGCTTTTGGTGCACTAGAATTTGCGAACCCTTTCATTTCTTAACAGAAGGAAAGCCACGTTTGCTTCTTTGTACATGTTCACTGTAACAATTACATAGCCTAGCCTGGCTCAAATATATTGCTTATTTATAGAATCTCATTTAGTCTTGGTATATGGAAAATCTCATATGCAAATGGGTCTAGACATTATAACAATACATTTTTGTTAATAAATGACAAATATACAAATTTATAAAAGGTTATGTCTCATATTTGCTGGTCAGTTACATCAAAGAGCAACTGTAAAAAAATAATAAAAGAAAAAGGTCACTTGTACTAACTTGCTGGGCCGATAATCTGGAATAGATCTATCCAGAGAGATTTTGTCACTCAGAAATGCATTGTAGCCATATTTCTCCCTCAGGTATTTGGCCTCTTTTTCTTCTGTCGGTGTAAGCGTGGCTGGTATACCTCCTCTACCTCGGCCTCCAAAACCTTCGATGAGTCCAAGAGAATTGGACAAACCTATTCAACATAAATGATTCAAAGGCATTTTTGTAAATAATACTATGATCAGACTGTACGTATTATGCAGTATGTATAGCGAGCGACTTTGTGGAGCTGTTTGTGAAATGAAAGGATATACCATTCAGTTGTCTGTACACCACATCTTCCAGTGATCCCAGTCTTTTCAAGAGCACATCATGAGAGATGCTTGTCTCCTGAGCAGATCCATTCAGATACGTCTGTCCTCTCGCATCAGCAGCCGCCTGTTGACCAACAGCTTTGGTTGTGCGTAAATTGCACTTGCCCCAAAAAGTGATGAAGCCAGCCACCGTAAACACATTTAGCACCAGTAAGATTTTCCATCTTCTCATCACAAAGGCCATGAAAAATTTTGGTGTTCGGAATCCAGAGAATCGCATCTTGAAAGACATTTAATACACAAATTTAACTTTTTTATTTAAAGAGTTTTTTTTACTTTTTAAAACTCTATTTTTATGGTATGTATTTATTTAATTATTTCATTACATTCTGTGGAATATTTTATTCTGATTGGTCAATCGCGTCATTCAGCGGTTAAATATTTTAAAATAATGGCCGCTGCACTCTAGTGTAACGCTGTAAAACGACTGCGAAACATAATATACGCCGGTGCTACTTTTGTGTGTGGACCCTTTTCACAGACTGTGATGATGCATTTTAAATCCTGCAAAGTCTAATGTACATTTATAACACTGTACTTTGTATTATATTACATTTGCATAAAATTACAAAGAACTATTTAACTCAGCTGTGAGGGTGTTTCTAATACAGCGTCTATGAGAGTGACGATAGGGTGAGAGTGACGGTAAAATGTATATCTTTCTCTCTTCTGACTGCCTTCATCAATCTCGCTCTATTTTTTTCCTCTTTTTAAAAGTTTGTGGAGTTCTTCTTTTGCTATTTTAACAAATGGGAACACAAAAAAATTAATATAGTTTCTTATTCACCGCTAAATAAGTTTACCCAACTATGACGACTTCCGCTTCTGAGAAACCCAGGAAATGTGAAAAGGGTCCATCGCATCACTCCGCCGTCTCTCGATGGTCATAAGTGCCAATTAGAATTATTAATTGACTTCATCTTTCAACTCAAAATGGTTTTGTTTATGTTAAAATGCCTCAGATGAGTATACTTTTCTGGGGAAGAAAAAAAACTTTTGATACATGACTTAATGGACTAAGGGTCTCCAGATCCACGAACTGGTAGAGATCGATAAGCGGGAGGATATTAATAGCTAATAAAGTAGGCCTATACAAACAAATTTGAATAGTCCATTTCCTTCTTCTTGCTAAATTGATTGTTGGCCAGATCTATATCATGGGCTATCTACAAGTTATCAAATAATTTAACCCAATTGGTCTTTCCATGCCTAGGTGATGTAAGTTAGTAACGGGAAATAAACCATTTCAAGGTGATAATGACCGACTCAACCCATAATTAACATTTTTTTACTTTTATATCCACTACTTATGTTCCAAATAATTTCATATTTTGTTTCTTAACATTATTTAACATTTTCCAACCAATCATTTATTCTGTCTAAATGTATGCCGTCTGTAAATGTAGGCTACCTTTTCACAACACCCAAAAATTATGTTCAGGCATGGTTTTAAGACAGCCCAGGCTTCTGAAAATTACTTATAGCCTACATTATTTGAATATCCATTACCAACTGCTTTATCTGACCAAGAGCAAACTGACAACTTGAGTCATCGAGACTGTTAGTGCGATAGCTTGTTATTCGGCTGTTATAGTTAAATGAAGAAATTTCCATAACCACTTACCATTTCGGATTGGTAAAATGCATCCTGCACTTGATAGTTGAGTCCGCCTGTGCGCTTTCATCCGTATTCACAGGTTCTTAAGAATAAAATCCACATGGGAAATGTATGTACATATTTAAAAGAGTCACAGCAAAGGTCCTTAACTGCAGTCATTCATCATAAGACATCTGTCAGTCAGATTCAAGAAGTCTTCAATGACAAACACAGCTGTTCTCCTTTGCTGGAAATAATGTCAAAATATGTTTCGAGAGGTCAGGCTTAACCTGTGTGTTTGCCCTGGATAAACAGATGTAAAATCCCTTCACCTCAGATACGAGACTCCGCAGACGCAACATCATCTCCAGCCGGATTCATCCACATCAAGCGCAGTGCTCATTATAAGCGCTATTTCATATCCCGCTGTTATGCGTTGGTCCTTCCGTGCAACGATGATCCCGGAGCAGCCCGCATCTCGCTCCATCCACACTGTTTTCTGCAGTTAATGTGCCCTTAAATCGTTTTGTCCACATAATGCTGGATAGCGCCTCGGATGAGACTGATGGAAAACACGGAATGGATGAGGCATGTGGAGCTTTGTGGAAATACAGAGCTGCTCACGCGCCACTCAACTCTGTTCACCTATGATTTAATTACCTGCAGACTTGATAATATGTTTGTAGTCTAGTACTTAATGTGACGTGAAGTCAGTTTATAGAGCTGAAAGGAATGCATCTGCACTGTAAAAAATAAGATGGGCTACCTTTGTGGACTTAAAAATTCACAGTCCATGGACTCGGAGTTCTTGCATGAACATATTGGTTCCATTTTTAAGTTCCTAACAAAGAACTCCTCTTTTTGAAAAGGTTCTTGCTTCTTCACAGGGTTTGTGCAGCCAAATGGTTTCTCGAGTAGTATATTTTCATATTTACAGATTACATTTTATATAGAAATTATTTCATCATATCAGTGAGAGATAGGGTGTGTTATAGCCCAAGCTGTGATTGTTTCTCTGCATTAAAAGCAGATATGTGTATGTACAGCTAAGTTTTAAAGGGCTTAAAGCTGTTTTGTTGTGTGTGTTTATATGAACTGGTATTGAGCAGAGCAAACTTGGCATTACTGAAGGATCTTGATGTGCATGCTTGCAGGCGACAGTGCATCTTTAGAGATCTCCTTGTGTTTCAGAGTGCTGGAAGGCAGTAAAAAAGGTTGTGCGTTTATACAGAAATTGCTTCTGCTTGTTTGTGCAAATCATTTAGAGTACTCCACATGAGAAAGAAATTAAGAACCATTTTACATGCATAAGCACATGCAGTGAACTTGGCTACATTTTTTTGAGAGAAGCTCTCCTGTGTGTACACAAACAAATAATCCACGCAATTATTAGTGAATGAGACCCATTATACGAGATGTCGGATCTCATTTGTGCCCTGCATTATCCAAGCTTGATGACAAAGGCATCAAATGTTTTAGTCTTGAGAACAACCGTTATTAACGTCAAACCTTGTGTAATGTGTTTTTTGAAGCAAGCACAAAATAGAACAGGTGTTATGCCATTTGGACTCCCTGCTAACTGAGAATTGAGAAAAATTTAGAGCTATGAGAATGGTGATCAGTATGCAAGCTTGTGCTTAATTTGATTAGAAAGTTGCTCATTTTAGGCTTATTTTTTCAGACCTGAAAATTAATTTCTCTTGAAAGACTTGGCAACACTGATGACAACAGAATTAAATTTTTTGATGAACATTTTTTTTCCGAACATGCTTAGGCAAGCATGCGGTATTTATTTACAGGGTCACTGTGATTTATCCAAATAAGACATGTAGTCCACCCAATCCCTACCCCTAAACCTAACCCCACCCATAACTTTTCCCTAAAATCAGAAAGGTGAATGACACTTATGTGTAAGTACTTCACCCTGGTTCTAAGCCTAAACTTGACATAAACTGTAAACTTGTGCCTCAAATCTGATTGGTTGATTGGAAAATTTTGAAGTTTTAATGGGTAGTTAAATATCAGCTCACTCACTCACATATTTAAAATCCATCCATCATGTAACCACTTAAACTAAATGTATTTTGAAGGTTTATTTTAAAGCTGTCGACTTCAATGTACATAGCTGTATGGCTTGTTCAGTGGTTTTCCTCTCTGTTGCACCTTTAAATTCCACGAGTTTAGGAGGAAATAGGTCACCCATATAGCCCAAGGAATTGATGTGCCTGGGCACACAGCGATAACTTGGTAGATCTCGCCACACTCACATAATTCCCTCTCTGCATGCATGGCGAGTCTTCACAAAACTGCATTATATGACCCTTGGTTCTTTGAAAGAACTGACATTCTTGTTCTTGATTACTTGATATAAACAGGAAGTGGCATAATGAGGTTGAATACTGAGTACAAAGATGAAACTGTAAGGATGGGAGGAACCCAATAGATGAAAGTGCACTAAAAATACTTCAGGGAGCCACACCCATAACAACATCATCCTCTGACTCTGGCCAGTTTGATTGGGTCAGTTTGTGATCAACATGTTTTGATGAGGATATTGTGTCTTCCGTTGAACCAGATTCAAGCCAAATACAGCTTGAGTCAAAAGGAAATCATAACTGGTCGTATTTACTTCATTTGCACTCATTTCTAGTGTTATTGTCAACAATTTCTCAGTGCACATTAATCCAAAAAAAAAAAAAAAGAAAGAAAGAAAGTTGTCTTTCTTTCGACGGAGCCCCGCACATGACATTATGGGCATGAATTAAATACATTCTCTCATTTTAGGCCACTTGTTCTAATTTCTTTTAGCATTTTAAGTAAATTGGGGTTTAACTACATTAAAGTGAGGTGAATGAATTAGAACAAAATGAATTTAGCTAAACCGAGGAGGCAAAATAGTATGAGGCAAAATGTGGCTCTGTCGTATCTTTCACCAACATGTTTCTTTTTAATTGACATTATAAGTCCCACACTAATTCAATATCCTGATACATCTGGAAATACCTGCTTTGGACACAAAGGCTCCATCCGAAATCGCATACATACATGGCTTATAATTTGTCTTATGTAGCTATACATCGATCATATCTATAGTTTATTCCATGGCAAAAAAAATAAAAATTGTTTTGGCTGAGAGCAAAGTGAAATTTCATATCTTTATATATTTAGGCTATTTAACTTTAAGTTTATAGAGCTTAATTATGTTTGACTGAATTGTTTGCTTTGTAGCTTCTATACATTTTAGGCTAGATATTATTGACATTTAACAAAACAGCGTTGTGCAATTTTATTTTATGTAGCCTATACTTAATATATATATATATATATATATATATATATATATATATATATATATATATATATATATATATATATATATATATATATATATATATATATATATCACTATATGTACAATAAAATAAAATCCCCCTGTTTGTTAAAAGTCAATAAAAATGTCAATAATGTTTCATATCTTTAAAATGATAACAAAAATATCATGTTCATGTTGTTATAAATATATGCAGTGAAGATAATCAATGTAGTAGGCCTATGTGTTGCCTGAACCACATGGCTATTAGGCTATGTTTAAGATTTTATTTAAAGATAGGAGGCAGAGTGGTGTTTTATAACATAATTCGTTTCATTGTTGACGAAAAGAGGCAGAGTTGTAGCATATTTCGTTTTATTGTTGCCAAAAATATAGATAAAGAGATAACCGGAGTAGCCAGAGCGTGCTGAGTGACGCGATCAAGAACGCGCGCTCCATTTGCAGAATAACCGGATTTAGGCCTACGTCCTCCTCGGTAGTTCGTTCTCCTGAATCGAACTCGGCAGTCGGCAAGTCTTAATTTTGCGTACTTTGTATTGAGAAACGGCCATGGTGATGTATACGTCTTCGAACAGACTGCTTACACCCCAGTGACAGGTATGTTTCGACCTCTGACATCCATGCTTACTTTTTTCAAACAATCACGTTTTGTACGATTCACATTGGACGGATTCAAACGTAACCCCCTCCTTGTAACATCTATGTTCCCATGAGATCAGGTTGTCTGTATCTTGCTGTAGAACAGACTCGTGGACTATTTGTCATGTGCTCAGCTGTGTGGATCTGAATGATGAAATAGCTTCATCAAAATAGAGCTCTTGGTGGTGAGGGAAGGAAGGTTGGACTGAGAGGGCAGGTGTTCATTTGTAAATAGTGAGTTATTCCTCATCTGGGGACTGTCTCAAATGAGGTCAGCAGCAAATGGGTGAAATTGGGCAATGGTTTGTGAGAATAAGTTGCTGATAACTGCTAGTGCTACTACTTCCCAAAGTAAGTGATAACAGAAAGCAGCAGATTGATTGTTAGAGAAAAGATCAAGACATACAGTAAAGAGTTCAAGACTGAACCTTTGTACCTGCAGGAAACCTATTTGAAATTTCCACTCATAATTTCTGTGTTAAATGATGTGTTATACAAAATAATGTTGCACGGCCTCACATTTACACTTATCTCAGGCTATTATGTCTAAAGTCTGTTCCGGTCTGTCTGACTTTGCCAGGTTGTCTGTCAAAACAGCCTAAATAGTATGTACAATAATATGCTGTCAGAGTCTGTCTGGGAACAGCTTCAAAATCTAATTTTAGTATGCCAAGCATGGATCTCCTTCAACCATTTGTTGAGTTTACTTCTTAAATTGCCAGTAAATTTAGCTTGCTTTCCGTAATACTTTGGTATTGGTCTATTATGCTGCTCTGTAAAATCTTAATGTCGTCGAATGTGTTATAATCTTTTTTTATTATTCACAGGTGATGTGTTTTGACCCAGTTTCAGTGTCTAGCTAGTCTGCTAGCTGCTGTTTCAGAGACTGAAAACAGCCTTCACTATTATGCTAAGATGTATTATTGTGAGTTGAGCAAGAGGTTTTTGACACTGGGTCAGGATCAGACCTCCTCACGCTTTGTAATGGTCACAGCATTAATTCTGTTTGAAGCTTTAATGCATTTGGCCTGTGTGTCAGGTCTGTCACCATCCATAAGATGTATAAATATAAATGGCATGGCTCTCCATTTAGCAGCTTGCTGTCGGCTGATTGTTCTCATGCTGTCAGCAGCAGTCATGTTGTGCCGGCGCTACTTTCTAATCCCAGCGCTCTGTGTGACTCATGTACTTCTCTGAAGTTAGTGATAGATCAATAATTTCATCATTTCTCTTTTCCTCTTAAAGCATGATGCAGCTAAGTGGTTAAAGCTCTTAAATTACCTTTTTAGAAGGGCTCTCAAGACTTAAATTTAATAAAGGCTCTGGTTGGATCTGTTACTTAGTCAGTCACCAAGTTAATGTTACACCCCAAGGCTTTACGTCAAAATGAGCAACAGCACTGCAATTCCCTTGTGGTTTTCGACTCATTGTGTGATAGAGGAAAGTCATGGTTATCCACAAAGAAACTTTTATGGGTTTGCCATATTTCTTTTATAATGGGAATGGTTGACGCATAGAATTGCATCAAACACACTGAACTAAATTATAAACGCAACACTTTTGTCTTTGCCCCCATTTTTCATGAGCTGAACTCAACGTTCTAAGACTATGTCCACAAAAGGCCTATTTCTCTCAAATATTGTTTACAAATCTGTCTAAATCTGTGTTAGTGAGCACTTCTCCTTTGCCGAGATAATCCATCCACCTCACAGGTGTGACATACTGTATCAAGATGCTGATTAGACATGCACAGGTGTGCCTTAGGCTGGCCACACTAAAAAAATGGGGGCAAAAACAAGCGTTGCGTTTATAATTTTGTTCAGTGTAATTATAAATGTGTGTTATGTTAAAACTGTCCGTTACCATTTTAATGTTTTGTTTTTACTGTTTAAATTTCGCTAAAATGTTTCAGCAGGTTCCATTGTGACAACTTTCCCCATATAGTTTGACAACATGCCCCTGCATTATCATAATATGTCTTTGGTGAACTCCATTTCTTTTCTGGACTATAATATTTTCAGTTTATTTTTTGTAGCCAAGACATTAAGTAAACCCGCTTGTTTGGTCCAAACCAAAGTTTGGATATCAGCGTTCACACTTATTCAAATGAACCGCTCTACACTGTAAAAAAATTTTTTTTATATATATTTTCATGATTTGTAATCACAACATTTTTTTCTTTTGTCAAATCAACTTAAATAATTTATGTAGTTCAGATAACATAATATTTTGAGTTTCTGATGATTAAACCAATCTCCTTCATTGTATTAACTCAATTTTTCCATTTCAATGAACTTAAAATTTTAAGGCAACCAGGTTACTTAATTTTTTAAGTTAAACCAACAATATTTTTTTACAGTGTAACAGAGCAATAGCACCAGGATTTGTTTTAATCAAACCAAACCTGCCAAGTGTGAACACACCCTTAAACTCAGTGTGTCAAAAACTAGAAAATCTATTTTCTGACAGCAACATATTTTTGGCCCAGATCCGGCAAACATCTGGTACGTGTTGAATCCATATGCACCAGAAATGGCCCGGATCTGGGCCGACACTATGTAGCTGTCTGGGTAATAACTTGTTAACTGATTCCAATTCAGGATCTTCATTGTTTCATATGCTCAATCCTCCCGTTATTTTTTTACATGCAGTTGACATTCGATGCCCATATTAAAATGCTAAAAACTGCTTTTTTCTACCTTGTAAATATCGCTAGACTTTGCTAGAGAGATATCTTTCTCCTTGCCCGATGCAGAAAAGCGTGTTCATGCCTTTATACGTCAAGGCTTGATTATTTCAATCCACTTTACTCTGGTCTTCCCGATAAATCCATTAAGAAACTGCAATATATTCAGAATTCAGCCGCCTGGGTACTGACTCACTGACTCATAACTGTTCGCCAGCATATTTCCCCATCAATTACACTGCATGGCTTCCCATACATGCACGTATCAATTCTAATTTTGCCATATTTTAACAAGAGCCCTATCTCTGTAACCTAGTTTCTCCATATCCAACTCAGTCTCTTTGCTCTTCTGGTTCTTGTACTCTTCAGCAGCCCTCATTTAAATAAAAGTCTGCGGGGGGTCGAGCATTCGCTGTTTCAGCTCCACGGTTATGGAATGCTCTTCCTTTGGTAATTAGAATTCTCTGAAGACTTTTATTTTTAAATCTGCTTATTGTCTTTGAGTATCATTTCGTATCCTTGTTTGTTTTTGTTTTTTTAAATCTTGTTATTTTTAGTTGTATTACTGTTTTTAGTATTATTACTCTGTTGTTGTTGTTACTCTTTGCCAAGATGCTATATTTTATTGATCCTGTCTGAAAATGTTGTCCTAACCCACCCCTAACCCTACCCATAATAAATCGCTAACATCAGAGGGAAATGACAGGTGAATAACACTGATGTAGAAACACTTATTCATGGTTTTGCACTTGGTAAAATCTTTGATTGTATAAGTTTTTTTTGTTTTTAACAATCGTATTTATTTTAATATTTTTATATTATTTCAATATATATGTATTTTTTTGTGCAAAAAAACTAAAAGACAAACGTTTACCGACACAAAAGCCCCGGAAAAATACAGAAATAAACTACATAATACAAATAAAACTAATAATGGGGTCATTATTAAATATGATTACAGTTAACCATATACAAAATAATCATTTATTTAAATAATTTTAAAATATCAAATATTAAAATTGTATGTTAATTTTTTTTACTTAAAGCTACACTATGTGATCTTTACCCCATCTAGTGGTGAAAAGGTATATGACCATCACGGGAATATTAGTTTTCTCTCAATTCCGATTTCGTTTTAACTCCTACGGTGGCCAATGTAGTCCAAGATTAACATGGCTTCCAGTTCGACCTCGTCCATGAGTGTTAACTCAAACGTAAACGTGAAAGGCGAATCTTGAATTAACAGGTATGTCCCTCTTTGGCTAATGTACTTTCAAGATGGAGGGGCAACTTGGTGACCGACATTACAACCCATATTATACACTCACGAGAATACTTTATTACTTGAACGAAGTAAATTGAGCACATATATTTTTGAAAGAACTAAGTGTTTTTAGCTAAGAATAAACTAAAAGAGTTACACAGTGTAGCTTTAATATTTAAATAAATGATACATATTCAAATTAAATATGAATAATAAAAATGGCACATGTATAATATATTTTATATATTATTTTTTAATAATAAAAAATAAAAAGCCAATAAAACAATCATTAATTCTGCATGCCCTTAGGACTCTTAGCATGAGATGGTGATTGCAGTTGCACTTGATAATTGTCACCCTATAGCACTATAACTAGGAGTGTTAGGAGAGCTTTGAGCTGAGACAGTAATTACAGTGAGTCTTTATCCTCAGGACTTCTCACTCACCCTTCAACATGAGTCAAGACGCTGTCTGTGACACTTCCACACAGCCAGCAAAGAGACAGAGCAGTGTTTTTTTACAGCACTGAACAAAGACACATGGAGTTCTCCTCCTCTCTCAAGTGCTGTGAGGTTATTTTAATGTCATGCCTTGAGGATGTGTGTTCAAGGAGTTAAAAATTCTGGATTAAAGTGATGAAACAGGCTCCTGCTGGTGGGCTGTGGAGTCCTCCTCACACTTGCTGGCAGATTAAATATTGAGAGGATTAGAAGAAAGAGCTGACATCTAAGCATTTAGGCTTAATTACGCAGAATATTTCATGTGCATTGAATGGCTTCACCAGTAAAGACTAGATTGTTGAAACACTCCTAATATTCTCCTCATGATGATAACATGTTTTGCACTTAATTCGTTCTGTTGCATACTCATATGATGTGAAGCTTGATGTTATTATGAGGCACCTGATGCTCAGCACCAAATGGACAGCGGTCCCATGTGCCTCAAAATGAGTTTAATATGATCTGTTTTTCACCCACTCAGATTTCAGAGGCCCAAACTGAGTGAAAAAGTGAAATTTGGGCCTTTTACTTGATAAACAAAATATTATCACACACTAGAAGAAATGTATTAGATTGTATATAACAGGTTTTCATCATGTGGATAATTTAGATAATTTTCTGGTAACATTTTTACAGTGTCATTGTTACGTAATAACTGTAAACTATGCATCCAAACCCTAATCCTAACCCTATAAGTACATGTAAATTAATATTACTGGATTAATACGATACACAAATTTGGGTTACAGCTTTCCTGTAGCTCAAACAATAGAGCGTTGGTAAATGTACAGGAGATTTTATAGAAAAAAAACAAAAAAAACAACAACATACTTTAGTACGTGTAGTGTCACTCAATTTTGGTGTGCCTTGTAATAAATAAATCAGACATTACGATATAATATTTGAGAACACCCTGTCGCAGTTATGATGTCACACCCTCAAATATGATGTCAGAAAAAAAGAACGATAAAACCAAATTAAACCTGGTCTTTGCTGTTTAATCTGGTCTTCTTAAACCACAGACAATGAAATCCGGCATTAAGGTAAAATGTAGAAAGAATTATATATTATGTAATCATGTATTCAATTAAAAGTAACTTTAAAATGTAATATAATTTAATTACAAATGATGATTAGATTCACTGGGGGGTAAACGAAAAAACATAACCACTACAGTTTTTTGTAAGAGTAATCCTGCATTGCATATCTTAGCCACACGGTGTCAGTGTTTCGTAACAAAAGATGGCGTGTAGACTGATGCATTTTTGCCAAAGCAAAAGATGCGACTAATTATTATATTACATAAAGTTCACACAGTTTTACACGAGCACTTTAATGAAATGAAAGAACATGGACAGAGACAGGTTCACATTACATTTATTACATTTGGAATACATGCACCATAAACATGCTGAGTTAAATCGGTGGAAATAGTATTTATAAAACTACCAAATCCTCCCCATATTGTCAATGGCATATTTGGAGTTAGTTTGTGTGTCAGTTCACCAAATAAAGCAAAAGTACACCTAGGCTTCATCCTGGCATACAGTTCTACGATTCCTATAATATTTATCCAATACACCATACATTTCATTACCAATGCCGTACAAAGCACATAAACAGTCTACGATGCTATAATGCTAAATGGCTAAACCTGACATGGCTTTAATAGTTCGGAATTCGTCTTTAAAATAATAATCTGAGTGTTTCAAATACACGCATAAAAGACTGATTGAATCTCTTTCTATGAGAATACAAAAGTGTTAATGATAAAGCAATAAATCAGTTTTATAAAGATTAAATAAAAAAGGACGATAAGCAAATAATAACCATTGCCATCTATAAATGTATAATTTTTATCACAAAGAGGAGTGCAATCTCTTTGGATTTCATTAGAATGACAAAGAAAAGTGACTTGTTGTCCCTTCACTGCACTCACTGAACACAGCAGAATAAAGGTACAAACATTTCAAAACCACTCCACGCCACTCGCTCTGAACTAAATGAGGAAAACGAGGTAATGCAACTTTCACAGTGACAAAGGAGAACACAAACTAGATAAACTACTACAGAACAGAACATTTTTGTCCATAATAGGTTATTTCAATAAATTTCAGGACAGATATTACAGTATCTAGTGTAAATAGGGTTAATATTTAGAAAGATTTTGTTAGGCATGGCTGTCATACAACTGTACAGAATTATTTTAAAAATGGCTCGACTCTGTTCTCATGAAACGATATCCATAGCATTACAGTGGATGGATTTCCAGAGCTCGCCAACAACAAATAATAAATCTCTCCATAACTGAAGAAAAACAGATGTTGTCCAATAAGAGTCTAAAATACAAATTAACTAAACAAAAAGCACACATACAATCAAACATCATAAAAATGTACAGGCAAAAAAAAAAAAAGAGTCCCAAAGAGTGATCTGAACTATTGATGAGCTCAGGTAACCTACAGTAAATGATAATTCAGTCGATGGATCGGATTATAAATGCCATGTGTCTATTTATGTGTCTGCAACATTTAATATTAAGAGAAGCACTTGGCTTGTTTCTATCTATGATGACAGATATTTACCCGTAAGGCAATGCTATTGCCCAAGAGCTCAGTACACTAAATGCTACTTGCTACTCCACATCAATGGCAATCTTCCTGAATGTTATAAATCATGGCAACAACGCCTCTTTTCAGGTAGAAATGTGACCTAAAATGAATGAAAAAGTAGTGGTAGACTTTGGATGGATTCAAATAAGTAATCTAAAGCTGACTCACCGTTAAGTGTTAAAGTGTCTGTGTAGTGTAAAGATGAAAATGAAGTGTATAAAATTGTAAATAAAATGTGTGATAGGATAAAATTCTGTGTAATGTCACTACAAAGTAAAAAAAAAAATATAACAAAACAAAACTGATTGTTCTAATGGTGTCTGACATTACATTGAATCCAGCGGATGCAGCACAAAGGCAAGTGATTTAAGAATCGAGTGAATTGTGGAATGTGTGAGCAGCAGTGCATGCAGATATTCTGGTCCTATGAAACATTAAGGCACCAGAGGTATCAAATATCTACTTGTTTGTTTTTGTTTTGTTTTTTTATAAAAAAAAAAGATTTCCCAAGTCTTCCAAAGGCAGTTTTTGTGAGTGCATACAACATATCATGGAGGAGACGGAACTGATTTACTTCATGCTTGAGCACCTGTCATCTTCTGCAACAGAGGGATCTGTAGAAGTAGAGAAGGATTTAATAAGACATAAAAATATGCTCTAAATGGCGGCTGTAAGAATGCAACTGCATTTTTTTTTTTATCATGGTTTGTAGGAATAAAAAATAAATTGGTACTCTATCATATTGGTTATCGATTACATTCGAGATTTTTTTTTCCGGTTCATTCATATTTCAATTTTAAAAATTTGTATCGGTATTGATTTATTTTGAAAATACTTCAGCTGATAATGGGTGTTCAATGGGTGACAAATATTATTATTTATATGAATGCAACTTTTGTGGTTTATTTTCCAATTTAGGACATTAGGACACAGGAGATTATTGATTGATTAATTAATTATATTTTACTGTGTACTTTAAAGTTTTACTGTGTACATTCTCACCCCCATGTCATCCAAGATGTCCATGCCATTCTTTCTTCAGTGTTCAGTCGAAAAGAAATTAAGGTTTTTGATGAAAACATTCCAGGATTTTCTCCATATAATAGACTTCATTGGGAACCAAACGGTTCAAGGTCCAAATGAGAGTTTCAGTGCAGCTTCAAAGGGCTTTAAACGACACCAGACGATGAATAAGGGTCTTATCTAGCGAAACCATCAATCATTTAAAAAATATATAAAAAAGTTTAAGTTTTATAAGCACACATGCTCGCCTTGCTCTGTTCTGTGATGAGCGTTCGTGACTCTCCTGTTCAAACTCGTTCATCAAAATGAACAAATCTTTTTTCGAGTCATGACTCGAAGGGTCCTTGATAAGACCCAATTATTCATCGTCTGGTGTCGTTTAAAGCACTTTGAAGCTGAACTGAAACTCTCATTTGGACCTTGAACTGTTTGGTTCCCAATGAAGTCCATTATATGGAGAAAATCCTGGAATGTTTTCATCAAAAACCTTAATTTCTTTTTGACTGAAGAAAGAAAGACGTGGACATCTTGGATGACATGGGAGTGAGTAAATTATCAGCAAACGTTTTTTTTTTTAAAGTGAACTACTCCTTTAAAGAGATACTCCACTTTTTTTTTTTTGGAAATAGGCTCATTTTAAAACTCCCTCAGAGTTAAACATTTGAGTTTTACCATTTTCGAATCCATTCAGACTATTTTCTGATATTTAGTAACCAGACAGTTTCTGGTCCCATTGACTTCCATAGTAGGAAAAAAATATACTATGGAAGTCAATGGGACCAGAAACTGTCTGGTTATTGATATTCTTCTGAATATCAGAAAATCGTCTGAATGGATTCAAAAATGGAAAAACTCAACTGTTTAACTCTGGGGGAGTTGTAAAATGAGCCTATTTCCCAAAAAAGTGGAGTATCCCTTTAAATCAAATCATGTAATCAGCATTTGATTAAAACACACTCTCACCTTGGACAGATCCACACCCGTGAGTGCATTTACAGACACGGGCAGCTCTGCGAGGAGACGGTTCACCTCCCCGGTCACACGACTGCCGTCCCCACTCAGAATAACAATCTCATTGGTCTTGGCCAAAGGAGCAGATACCTTTTCAGCGATCTGAAAATCAAAGTTAGAAAATCTAAATATGAAATCAAGGTCTTCAGTACCCATAGTGATCTTGTACAACTGCACTGGGGATCTCTATGAAGGTAATCCAAATAGGTTCCCTCACCCTGGGCAGCGCCTCTAGGACGAGTGCAGTCTTGGCGGCGTCTCCGTACTGCTGGTAGGCTTCTGCCTTCAGCCTCATACTCTCAGCCTCGGCCCTCCCCACACATGAGATAGAAAGGGCCTCCGCCTCTCCGATCTTCCGAATCTTCTCTGCCTCGGCCTGAGCAGTCAGAACTTTCTTCAACCTGTTCAAATATAGCACAATTCATTTCATCAAATACATAAAAGATGCATCATATATCCTGTTTGGCTTCAAAGCAACATCTGTGCCACATCTGTGAAACATTTAACTTTTAAAAGTAAGAGATGCACAGATGGCGTAGCCAAGCCTAACACCAAAAGATTGCAGGCTCAAAATCAAAGAGGATGATCCAGCTAGCAAGCCACTTAATCACGGTTACACAACAACTAGGTTGAATTTCACCCCAAAATCAAATGAAAAAAAAAAAAAACGACATTTTTATTTAAGTACATCCCATTCCCCACCCAAATTTTCATGATCATATTATTATGTCCCAAGTTTTTGTAATTTACACTTCGGTAGTTTGTTAATCTCTTTACTGTAAAGATGTGATTTTAATAGTGCTGTAAAATCATTTAATCACGATTAATCGCATCCAACATAAAAGTGTGTTTATATAATATATGTGTGTGTGTGTGTGTATATATATATATATATATATACGTCTGGGTGTGTGTATACTGTTTATATACACACACATATATTTATACATTTATAATGTGTTTGTGTATACGTATGTATATATACACAGACACACTAATACATATGTAATTGATATATTTACAAACATACTTTTATGTTAGATGAGATTAATCGTTTTAACATTAATCGCATCTAATGAAACATTTATTTCGATTTCTTCATATATTATTAACTAACATTATTACAATATATAAAAATATTGATGTATTTAGATGACACTCACTTCTGCCCTTCGGCCAGCTGCTTCATCTTGTAAGCCTCGGCTTCAGCGGGACGCTTGACCATAGCGGTTAGCTCCTTCTCTGTCCTCTCAATCTCTTTCTCCTCAATGGTGATCTGCTTTTTCCTCTGCACCACCTCGATTTCAATCTCCTCCAATCTGATCTTCTGCTGCTCTTTCGCTGCCTGCAGTTCATAGGCCAGCTGAGACTCGGCTTTCTGTGTGGAGGAGAGACACACATCACACGATTACTGTCACTCTCATCTGAGACTGATAAATATGAATGTATGAGCCCACATCCGGGTGGCTAACAAGATGACTAAGATTTAAGATGATGGCCCTGGACTGTAATGAAATTTAATCCAACCTTGGTGTTCACTTCTTTATTGAAAGCAGCTTTCTGCAGCTCCAGCTCTCGCTTGGAGTCGGCCATTTTAGTGTCCGCCAAGAACTTCACATCCATCATTTCTTTCTTGCACTCAGCTTCCTGATCAGGGACGTGGGAGAAAACAGAAGCTAATGAATGGCCACAAATCTAGTGGATAATTCATTAGCGATAAAGAATGTGAAGCCAGAAGTCTCTTACTCTAATCCCAGCATCCCTCTCTGCCTCGGCCACTCCGATGTCGGCGTCCCTTTGTACAGCCGCTGTCTGCGTTTTTCCAAGAGAGCTCAAGTAGTCCATCTTATCATAGACATCCTGTTAAAAAAAAGACAAGTGGTAATATTTTAAATTGTATTACTTGTTTGAATGTTTTTTTTTTTATTATTATTTAGATAATAATAATTAACTGACTTACCGAAAGTATATTGAATACTTTATAAAATGTATTATAATATGTGTGTGTTGTTTGCTTAAACTATTAAAAGTAGTTATAGTTTGCATTAACTGACATAAAGCTGAAAAAAAACTTAAATCTGAAGAAAATTAAAACTTAAAATAAAAAAAAAACTTAAATGAAAAATTGTAATGTTGCCTTCTTGAAAAATGTTTCTAAAATTAACAAAAAAAGAGACAAAAGCACATATCAAAATTACTAAAACTTAAGGTAAATATACATAAAAACCATGTATGTTTTTTGTGTACAGATGACAACGTTGTCAAAACGGTCCGCATTCACACGGATTCTCGAAAATGACTAAAAATGCTTCATTATTCAGTAGATTACGGTCCACTTTGTTAAAAAACACTATGTGCCTATAGACTGAACATTTAATACACATGCACATGATGTCACCGTTTTCACAAATTTACGTTTTTGTAGTTTAAACGGATTAATAACAGTATCTGTTTTTCAGTTTCATCAGTGTTCAGTTCCCCAAAACACTGTTGTCGTGTAAATGAACGGCCAAAACACATTAAAAGATTTAGTTGAAACCAGTGTCATGTAATCGGGCCCACAAACTAAAAATAAAATGAAAACTTATCAAATTATACTTGTGCCATTATTATATTTATTCTAGGGCTGTCAAACGATTAATTGCATCCAAAGTAAAAGTTTGTGGTTACATAATATATGTGGGTGCACTGTATGTAATTATTATATATATATATATATACTGTATATATATATATATAAATACACACACATGCATGTATATATTTAAGAAATATTTTCATGTATATACTGTATATAGATTTATATATAATTTATATTATATATAAATATCATATTTTTTCTTAAATATACATGCATGTGTGTGCAATTAAATATAGAAAATAATTATATTTGTGCACAAGTGCACCCACATATATTATGTAAACACAAACTTTTATTTTGGATGTGATTAATCGCGATTAATCGTTTGACAGCCCTAACTAATTAATATATAATAAATATAACGTTATAAAAATAATACTAAAATTACACTTATTTTAGGATTAATATATAAAAAAAAAATTAGTCTGACAGTTAGATTTACATGTGCACTGGTCCTTGAGGTCTATAATGGAGGTGGGCCAATTGTCTATGAGTATGACTTTGCATTAAGAAACACCCATAACTTACTTTTATGGTAAAGCTGAGGATCTCAATGCCCATCCGGCCCACGTCAGGAGCAGCCACCTCCCTTACCAGCTGAGCAAACTGATCTCTGTCCTGGTAGATCTGCTCCACAGTTAAAGTGCCTATCGTTGTAACAGCAACAAAACATTAGCTTCATAGAATCACATTTGAATGTTTTTTAATGAGGTTATTATAACTGTTGGTAATATATTAACCTAAGATTGAACGCAAATGTCCCTCCAGGGTTTGCAGGACCACAGCCTTGATTTCGATGACAGATTTTCCCAGAAACTGCTCACAGGCAACAGCTAGCAAGTCTTTGTCAGTCATAACCTTGATCTGACAAAAACATGAGACAACAGTAAAATTCATTAAACTACAAAAAGCTTTCTTTTGCACTCTGAAAATAAAAGTGAATGCATAGTGTTAATAATAACTACATGCCTTTCAAAAGTTTAGAGGGTCAGTAACATTTTAAGTGTTTTTCAAAGAAGTTTTTCTCTTCAGCTCACAAAGGCGTATTTATTTGGTCAAAACAATACAAACTGGCATATTGTGAAATATTATAACAAAGTTTTCAATTTGAATCTATTTTACAATATAATACACTCCTGTGATGTTTTCAGCATCATTACCCCAGTCTTCGGTCACACGATCCTTCAGAAATCATTCTGATTTGCTGCTCAAGAAAAATTACTTATCAATGTTGAAAAGAAAAATGTATTTATTTGTAAAATTATAAATGTCTTTACTATTACGTTTCTTTTAGTAAATCCTTGCTGAATAAAAATATTAATTTCTTAAACAAAAATATTACTGACCCCAAACTTTTGAATGCAAGTATATACTGTAACTTTCAAGTACAAAAAGATAATTTAATTGAATTCAAATATCTGATACTAAGCTGCAAAAGTGAACCAATCATTAATATACCATTACTATATTCTATATACAGTGTATATATACATAATATGCGTCTAATCCTGTTCCTTAAGATCCAGAGATCTTCCTCCGGTGTTTAGCTGCAGGGTTGCAATCCTGCAAAGTAGATCCTCCAGGAATAGGACGGATCACCCCAACATTTGTGTTCACATCTAATGATAGAAATCTAATCATACATTTAATAAAACAACAGTAAATGATCTGTGAGCGGTCCATGAGAGAGTGTTTACTTGAGCAACTCCTGTAACTGTAATGGCAACTCCCTCCGCTGTCTCCACGTCTTCACACTTAGGCTGTAGTGTCATAATCTCTAGTGTAATTCTGGGGGGGGAAAATAACCAGAAGTTAAACGTAACCTTTAAAAAGAGTGCCTAAGGCAAGAAAAACCTGTTATTCCAAGGCTTGTTAGCATTGCAGAATTCAAAAAATGGGACAAAAGTGCCAAAGGACAATAGCAGTGGCTGACAGGAAGAACTGTATGCAGTCAGAGAGATGTTCAAGACGACAGTATGAAGCAAATGCTGAGCTCAATAGAAAAGCATCAGATCAGCTCATAAATCAACCAATTCAGCTGATCATGGAAATTTAAGATGTGAACGGAAATAGAATAACATCTGAATGACAGAAGATGTATATGATTAAAATATATCAAGCGACCTCTATACAGCATGTACATTGCAAAGCCAAACTGGTTTGAGACAAACACACCTATCCAGGTGCGGCTTTTAGTTTTCTAAGGTTAAGCATTGTAATTATAACCAAAGATTGATTCACTATGGTTAAGGTGAACTTTGACTGCATTTTCTGCACCACACATGGAATGTGATCCTCATTTATTTGACTGTTGTTACCTCTGGGTGTCTGATATAAGCCACCATGCCCACGCCCAGCCTCCCACCACATACGTCTTTGTATCTGCCCCACAACAGGCACCTTGGAGAGAACAAGAACACACACATGTGATGGCAATGATCATCTCAACAGACATAGTCAAACATTACAAGGATATGATCTAATGAAGTGAGTTCAATGGGGATTCAAACATAAAGTGAACTAGAAGATGCTAAGATGTCTACACTTAAAGTCATGCCATTATATTCCGACTGAATATTACCATATTTATGGATATAGTACTATGGATATAGTTTTTCAAACTGGGGTTCAAGAAAAAATAATTGGAATAAGATAAACGTAAAATAGAATTTAAATAAATATATAGTAAAGCATCACTTTTAAATAAAATAAATAATAGGCTACATCTAACAGAAACTAAATATTTTCTAAATAATAATTTAACATATATTTATACTTAGCCTATTAACTTAATTAATTAATAGATGCGTTTAAAATTTTAGAATGAGGGAATGTCATACCAGAATATAAGAGATTGAAAACCGACTGGTTGGAAGTACCATGTAAATATCATTATTATAGCAGTACCTTTTAAGTGTAGTAAAAACAAAACAAAAAACAGGGCACTTTTAAACAGACTTTTTTAAAAAAGCCAAAATCATCACAATGTAACCATTTCACTATGTTCTAAAGTGGCCCTTTCTATTATAATTGAGAGCGATAGTATAATTAGTATGAATGAATTACTAGTTATTATATATTAAATCAGGTAACACTTGATTTTACAGTGTCCTTTTTACAGATGTTACATGCACTTACCATAGTAATAACAGTAAATGATGCATATAAGTTTGCCCTCGACCAAATCCTAACCCTATAGTAAGTACATGGTGTTAAATAATATTACACAGAACTTACATATTTAATTGCACTGTAACAACAATGACAACTTAATAAAGTGTTACCAAAAAAGTGTAACCTTAAATCATGGTAAGAGAGATTTTTTTCCATGTACATTTCTGAAATGCACTTTCTGTAAAAGCACTATACAAATAAATTTGAATTGAAAGAGTGTAACGGGATCACTGATCTATATAATATATAGATCAGTCATCCCGTTACACTTTTATTGATATTATTATGACCCCGTGTCATAATAATATCATTATATTATAATGATATTATTATGACACAATGTCAGTACGTTATGTATCAGTGAAAGGGATGCACCTAGCAAACATTGTGATATGCATTAATAAGGAGGACAATTATTTGTAAACACTGAATTTCATAAATGAATAGACTACGTTTACGTTTGGATTTATACTAAGTTTCAAAAATAGGCGAAATTAAAAATGCCGAAAATTCTTTTAAAACAGTAATGAATGACTCGTTTAAATGCGGAAGAGCTGGGCTGGGCTAACCTAACGTTAGCTGTAACGTTAGCTAGCTAACACGACTGGATGATTTTATTTACCACACAATTCATAAATAAATGAAATAAACACTTCACTAAATAATTAATGAAATAGTTGTTTGAAATATTATATAAAGGTCTAAATGTTGCAAGATATTGTAAACATAGATTATTACGATAACGTTACCTGACACAACGAGCGCTTCATTTGGTCCAACAGTCAGGCAGCAACCCATACTTGCATTTAATATCGATCAGTAACGTTAATCCTTTCGTGTTTATTCCTAACAATGTTTAATAAAGCGTTTATTTAGCAGCTTTTTGACTCGTAAAATGTAGGCTATAGATCCCCACCCTAGTGAGAGAATGAATGTTTGTCAACACAAGCGACCCTGCCCACCACTGGAAGGAAGGGAGAGAGGGCCGTGATCCAGTGTGTGTGTGCTAAACCTAACGAGCTCCCTACCTAGACGTATGAAAGGGCCTATGATGTCTAAAATGCTATCTAGGTAGGCAGCTCGCTCGGTTTTGAAACACAGACTCCGTGTTGTCATGATTACTAAAATGCTGACTGTATTCATGTCTAATTCCCATCTAATATATGTTTTTTTCATTATTTAATTGTATAGTCCTGATATCTGAGGGTTAGAAGTTATGCATTTCTGCATTTTACAATTACGATAGAAAGAAAGACTTGGCAATTGACGTTTACAGAAACTGTGGGACTTTATGCATTTCTGCATTTTACAATTACGACAGAAAGAAAGACTTGTCTTGGCAATTGACGTTTACAGAAAAGTACTGTGGTTTTAGCATGGTATACTTTGATATATGACCTACCATTATATTGAATGATTATCATATTCATGTACCACAATAATATGTTTTTAGACTACTAAGAATTATTTGCGTTGTGACATACTGAAATGAAGAAAATATTAAATGAAGAAAAAATGAAATAGTGGCTAAATTAATAATATAATATAACATAATATAATATAATATAATATAATATAATATAATATAATATAATGGGATCTAGTATAATTCCCATTCAGTAGGTGGCGCGTTGAGCCCAAGTTACCGTCGCGTTTTCTCGACCTCAGCGAGGAAGACACGTGGGAAAAGCTTAATGCGCATGCGCGGATATAGGCTGCAGTGGGCACTGGGCAGCAGCAGTGACTAGACAAGCGCTTTATCGACACAAGCAGAGCACAGGTGCCGAATAACCCAGCAAAATGCTCTTTTAAACAATCGCACGTCTCATCCCGGAGCCAGAGAGTAAGTTTTGCTTTCGACACCTCCAATCTGGTCATTTTAACGTGGTTTTAAGAAGCTGTGAGATGAAAGCCGGGCAGTGGCTCGCACAAAGAAGACACAGGCTATATGCTAGTGGCAGTAGCAAGTGTAGAGGCAGAGGTACCAACACTGGCTGAGTGAGATCACTCTAATCACCCTTCAGATTGGTTGCTAGTTAGCTGGGCATGAGATGACCACGACAAACCTTCAATCATCCTGATATATCTTATCAACAAGGCAGATGTGTGCTGTAATGACCCTAAATTGTGTAAGTGTGTCTGTGTTGGTCTCAGGTAATTTTAATGCATGTAGCTTGTAGCTAAGCAAAGTTTTATTTTAGGGTGGATGATAGCAATCACAAATTGTACTTTCGAATTCAAGTTCATTGTTTGTATGCTTGGCTAACTGAGTTTTGGAGTCACAATGTAGCTCAGCTTATCAAGAGCTTCTGTTTTTTTTTTTTTTTTTTAATTAAGACTTTAAATGTGTGTCAGCTTAAAATGTCCTAAAATACTGCTTGGCTATACGATATTTGCTTGTAAGAGCTCTGAACTGTGAGTTTGTCTAGATATTGAACTCCGTTCAAAGGTTTTTTTGAAGAGCACCACCTAAATAAACAACTCCCCCCTACCACTGGTCCGTTTTGGGCATGATATCACAGGACGTACATAGTCATCTGTAATTCTTCATAGGTCCAGAGTGTTTTAAGGCATTGTAAGTGTCAGATTCAGCTGATAACACATTGTTTACTGTAAAATTAAAAGCAGCTTCCTGATGAAAATAGTTGGGGGTTGGGTGCTCAGAACATGTCAGGCTCGGTCTTGACTGCACTTTTTGACACCTGCACATCTCAGATTGGATGAATCAGCTGGAAGCATGTGGCCTGTGGTCGTGTTGCCGCATCCCCTGCCGTGCCCCTGGGCACCTGCCAGGCAGACGGGAAAATGCGTTTGCATCGCACTCCTGACACTCAAACTGCAGGGTGTGCACCGTAGGCCCTGACACCAGCTGTTTCAGGGAGCTATTTAAAAAGGTCATGCTTGAATGCATGATATTTAAATAAATGGCTACAATGAGGCAATTACAGAGATCTATAGCTACAGCGTTTGATGGATGTTCAGGTGAATTAGCAAGGGTAGGGCCTTTATACACTTCTGTGATTGCCGTTTTTTTTGCGGCTGGCTGTAAATCATGTCATTTGTTGACATTCTACTCAATATTACTTACTTAGCTTGTTGGGATATTCACGGTGAGGTGATTTTCATTCTGTGACTCTTTTAACCTAAGACTTTTTGATTATTGCTTCTGCTGTTGCGCCAAACCACCACTAATTAAAATAGAAATTCCGCCGTTATAATTTATTACTCTCATTAAGTCCCATTGCAGAGTGTGTTCCATTAAACCTACGTCTGCACGTGAAATTGGATTTCTTTAATGACGCCCTCAGAGGAGAAAATAGCCAATGTTTCTTTTTTTACACCATGTATTTTAAGAGACAATTGATGTGAATCCGTTTTTGTTCGTGACATGAATGTTTCCTTTACAGCGTGATGAGGAGTAAAAGTCCAATGTTGCATTAGTCTCATTGTGACATGCTGGCCTGTCTGCCGGTATCAAACCTCTCCTTCCAGCTTCTCTCGTACACGCAGATGAACACTGGACTTCAGAAATGTAAGCTGCCATTAACTGAAACGAGCTTTGTTCTGATTAGGCTGCATGTTTGTTTGACCTAGATTATCCTTTTGTTAGAGAAACAGATGCTCTTCCTCTTGACCCTGCTCCATCAAAGCCCTGTTAAGCAGTCATATGCCATCATACGAGCGCCAGATTCCTTGCATTAACCTTAACGCTTGGCCTTCTCTTGCTCACAGGGGACACTACACAGAGGATGAGATCAGCACACTATCCTACCCCAGCGGAATTGGATGCCTATGCTAAGAAAGTTGCCAATAACCCACTGACTATAAAAATCTTCCCCAATAGTGTGAAAGTACCTCAGAGGAAGCATATTCGCCGCACCGTTAACGGTCTCGACACCTCCAGCCAGCGATACAGCCCCTACCCACCTCAGGTCAACACCCGGACGGGCCTCTTGGCCATCGTCAAAGTTCCCGTCAAAGGGATCCTCAAGGACATTGAAGGCGGCCGAGCCCGTTTTCTCCCCAAGCTCATCATGAACCCGCACAGTGGGCTTTACACCAGTTCCAGCACTTTAAATGTTCCTCACACTGTTCCACACGTTCAGACTCCTTTAGGCCAGAAGAGCCTCGCCCACTCTCAGGCCTTGCAGGCCCATTCACAATCCCTGCAGCAGAAGAGTAGTTTACAACCACAGCAGAGCCTGGCTCATCAGGAGGCTTTACATCAGAGCCAGGCTCACCAACCGCCAGTACCACACCACGCCCTAAACCACCAACAGACTCTCATGCAGCAGCAGCAGACACAATTGCCTGGTCCACAAGGACTACGGCATCTGCCTGATATCGCGCAGTCTGTGAACCTGCAACACTCCCAGGGCTTCTCTCAATCCCAACCCATGCCACAGGCCTCTTGCACTGGGCCGCCGGCCCCGGGGGTCTTACAGCCACCCCTGGCAGGCTTACAGATGGCACGCAAACTGCCTGACGCCGATGCCCCTCCCAATGTGACTGTGTCTACCTCAACCATACCGCTGTCCATGGCTGCCAGCCTGCACCAGAACCGGCCCAGCGACTTGAGCAGCATCGTCAATCAGATCAACCAGTTCTGCCAGGCTCGGGCTGGCATGGGCTCTACCTCCGTGTGTGAAGGACAGATTGCCAACCCCAGTCCCATCAGCCGCAACCAGCTCATCAACGCAAGCTCTCGGGTGTGCACTCATCACGTTGTGGGTCCACCGCCTTCTTGCGTCCTTGGCAACTCTGACAAAGGTGGTCCTGCTCTGCATCTGCCCGACATCGCGGCCATGAACAGGATGCCCCTTTACCACAATGACATGAAGCAGCAGCAGTCCCAGCCACAACGTCAGCAGGGCCCTTGGGGCCAGCACCAGTTGGCACACCTTCAGCACCTTCCGGAGGGAGCGGCTCACCAGGGCAAGAATCTCCCTAGAGAAGGCCTAGTGGGACCAGGGTTCCTAACCAAGGGCATGGGCTACCCGCAGGAGGTGTGCATGGCTCAGTCCTTCAACTTGAAGCCCCCCACTGATAAACCAACTCCATCTCCTCCGGTCAATGGGATGCCCATGAGTTACAGCAACGGCCACTACATGCAGCCTCACTGGAACAGCATCCTGCCCACACCAAACAGTGACAGCTCAGGGTCTCAAGACCTGGTGGGGCCGTTCCACGGAGGCCTCTCAGGGGCCTCCATAGACTGCACCCCTGGAGCACAGTACAGGACGGGGCTGTCCATTTCAAGCCAGACCAACCTGATGCAGACCATGGAGTACATGGGTGGCGACTTCCAGGCGCCCTGCTTCCGAGCGCAGAATCCTGGCACAATGTCAAAGATGCACAGAGCCTCAGTCAGCAGGGCCACAGATTCAGGTGATAGTAGAAATGTCCACATCCACCACCCAGGGTACAGATGAGCTGCGGCCAGTTCACGCTAGTCAGTGTTAGTCGGAGCGCAAGGAAAAAATTCCCCCATCTTGCAAGTGATCTACTGAATGTTTCCTGTGTGATTATTTACGTGGCTACCACAAATCTTAACACCCATGTGCCACTTTGGTTTCTTTTATTATTTTAATTTAGTATAGATTACTTAAATAATTAGCCGTTGGGGGGGGGGGGGGGTGGCTTTTATTTATTCTATTTTTAAAAGAAAACAGCCATAACAGCTTCAGTTTATGACATCAGCACTGTTTTTTTTTTTTTTTGCTTTCTCCAAGTCCTATCTGGTCTGTGTAATGTAATTGGAAAAATGTACCACATAACTCGCATATATTTATTCGCTCTTTGTTTTTTGATTAGCAAATGTCCATTATTTAAAAAGCTGAGAAGAAATTCTCAGCAAATTCCATTTGTATGTAGTTTAGGCCTACTTGAGATTTGAAGTACTAACTCACTGAAGACATTTTAGGGGTGCCATGATGCTGAAATCTTTGGCTGTTCCATCGAAGCTAACAGCTTGTACAATGTATAGAGGTTGATTTTTATTTTGTTCCTCTCAATGTTTACATATTGTGCTTTTGTAACTAATCCTAAATCGATATGAAAGTGCAAACTGATACTGGGATATGCACATATGACAAGACTGTTTCTTTTTCAGACTGTTGAACATGAATCAGGTTAAAGTCTTTGATGGAAATGTTACACTGGGCTGAGTAAAGCCACATCGTGTACAACGTTAATCCTTCTTTTGAAGTGTCAGTTAATGCGCTATCCTTTTTATCCTATTTTTTTTTTCCTGAGTATCTTATTAGATTTCAGTTTAAATGGAGACTGCTGTAGACTGAAATTGCTTCGAGACTTGTGCTGTGCCCTAATTGCATAGCTTAGGGGTTTATTTTGTGTCTCAACTTAATTGTTACTACTTGAATTTCATTGGAAAGACACGGTGACAGCAGGCTTCGACTCACTACAAGTCTTACAGCAAGACCGACTTTAGCAGCCGACCCAATCCTTCCTTTGGGAAGTTTCATCACCCGCTTGTGCGTTAGTTCATCATTAAAGGAAAGACGTCCTTGACCGTAATTGGATGACGGAACGGAAGTGTGTTGATGTAAGCGCAATATAAATGAGCACCGCAGGCTAGCCTGTGGCTTCACTGCTGTGTTACTGTAACTGAGAGGTGTGATTAGCCGGTGTGAATGCTGTGTATTGGAGCGGATTGGCTCCCTGCTTTTGCTCCATCATTAACACCATACCGCTCTTCCCTGGCGGGATCATTTCCATCTCCGTCACACGCTGTTGTGTCAGCTGAAGCCTGCCACTGCATTTTCCACCCACCTTAGGCACTTGATGTGTCACGTCGGTCTTATCTGAAATAGCTGAAATGCACCGCCGGTGACAGTCTAGGTCTATTTGCTGGGAAACAACCCAAGTAAAATACACATTTTACGTTTAGTTGTGTTGTGAATCTGATAATTGATCCATCCGATGCTCCACGGTTTAACTCCCATGGAGAGTTTCTCTCTTTCTCAGGTCTACCTGTGCCTCTTCTCATATTCTCCCTTGACTTTTATGTCCAACAAGTCTCTCCACCTTTATCAGGACAGGCCATCTGGCAGGGGAGCATGGGTATTGTCAGACTTTGGTGTAACGAGTGGAGCAACTGCAGATGAGTGAATGGGTGGAGCCGTGACACCCAGTATCATAACCTCCCTGTTTGCCCCTCAAAAGCCTTAAATATTTGATCCCTGAACTGTCCTTGACAATAGGCATGGCGTAGAATATAAATTAATGATATCTTTTTGTGAAACTTTAAATCGGGGGAGCCTACTCCCGAAAGGAAGATTTTTTTTTTTTTTTTTTTTTGTATTTAGCAATGTATGTGTAGTATTGGGCTGTAACAGTTCACATTCACACCATGTCATGTTATGTTTCCTGAACTAGCGTCTTTATTTCCTTTGTTTACCATTGCAGCAAAACCTGTTTAAGTCCTAAATCTGTTTCCTGTCATGGGCGAACACATATGTTGGAAATGCAAGCTCTACTAAATGCTTTGCATCCTGGCTAAGGTTTTTCGGTAACAGCAAGCCTAGTTTAAGCTTTCACGACAGAATACGTTTCCCATGAAGCTGCTATTTTATTCTGACCACAAAAAAAAAAATGATTTCTTATAATTGTTGTGAGGATAGAGTTAAGGTCTAATTTATGTTATGCCTTTTTTGCAATGCAATATTAATAGGTTGAGTATCGGCAGAAACAAGTTATTCCGTTTGCCTGTCGAACGTCATTTGTAAAGCTTGAGTGTTTAGACTTCCTGTATTTCTTTCGATCCTTATTTCATGCCTTGTTACAGCTCAAGAGTACAATGTCAGGTTACTCTTTTAATAGTTACTATCTCTATGTGAAGTGCCTCCTCTGGGCTGATGTGGACTGAGTGTTTGTGACCATTGGGATGGAAAAATGGACTGGCGCTAGTGCACATTCCATAGACGTTGTGCACTGCTCACGAATGGGGGACCGAGCGAGCTACTTTAAAAACTACTGATATCGTTCACAAAAAGAAAATGAACATTGTGTGCTGCTGCAGGTGCGAGATCTGTTCGGATGTGAATAGTTGCTGCTGAATCACTAGTTTAGGTGGCGAGAGCTACGCTGCTGAACTCCCTAGTGTCCTTGAAACATTCAAAGGAAAGGTCTGGAAAGTTCTTTGTCTTATGGAGCACATGCACTCCTGCCCCCATCACCACCCCACCCCTTCCCAAAACAACACAATGGCAGTTTTGGACTACAGGAGTGTGTGTTTTTGGAGGAGTTGAGTGTGTCTCATCTTGTTCCACCAAAGAACAAAATGTCACTTGAATGGTAGCAGTGCGCACCTGTTTTATGTAACCGAAAACTGTCATTCCAGATACACATTTTTTCAGGAACGTGTTGCACAAACATTCCCCTCTAACCAAAATAAAGTTTGACTTGCATTTGCAAAGTGTGTCGTTTCTCTGATTCTTGAGTACTGGATTAAAACTCTTTACAAAACTTTTATTTGCCAAGTATTTGTTTTGGAGTACTGTGACAATTATGCTCCGAAGTATTCATTTTGAATGCAATATCCTGTTTTCAAATTTCACGTTTCTTAAAATGGTTTCCTCTCGTCTTTTTAATCGGTACGGTACATGTACAAAATGTGTAAAATATGGCTTCAGTGGGACTCTTTCAGGGCCATCTATTGAATTCTCAACATTTTCGATCAAAAGTTTTTTTTTTTTTTTTTTTTTTTTTTCAAATATTGAAAGCAGTAGCCATTTTGTTTTGCTAGTGTTGCTAGCTACCTACTTAAACTAAGGAAATACATTTTTATACTATAGCCTGCAACTCACAAGACAGCCTGTGGTAGCATAACTTGCTTGTGAAATCTGACCAGAAATATTAAGTTACTTAAATCTTGTGTGAGTTGCTTAATGTTCTCATAAATACTGTTTAATTAAGTATACAACAGTAAGTTCCGGTCGTCGAATTTGATTGGTCAAGTGGCGTTAGTTAAAAACACACTGGTTCAAATGGGACTTTGGCTGTATCACTCCACTTGTCATTTCGTGCCGTATCAGTCATAGAATTGACTATTTTTATGCAGCCAGGTCACGTCGACACAAAGTAAGTGGCAACAAGTTGCAATTATCAAACCACTGAATTTTCTCGGAATCCAAAAGATTCGTTCAAAACTTAATTTGTGTTAAGATGTGTAACGGTTAGTTTGGTTTTGTTTGAAGCTATTTTAGTTAGCAATATAGGCTAGCCTACATAAAGTAGCTGGCAATATAACTTTTTAGTCTAACATAAAAGTTATTCAGTAAAAGCCAGGAACGTTTGGCCTGTCACCCATTAATGGGCTTTTGGTCTGACAAGTCTGATTTAAATTAACATTTAATAATAATATGGAGTGATCTGTATACGTGTACGTTATGGGGTGGTGGAAGGAGGAATCATATTTCATATGAATTTTGGTGTAAAAAAATGTGTTAAGAATATCATAATGATCCCCTCAGCTCTATCTCAAATTAATTACTCCTTGTTCCTTGTTCTCTGTAGAATGTAGGCCTATATATTGAAGCCTAATATTGTTATATACCATCAGAACTGTTAGAAAGCTTTAGTGGCCTAAATCCACCAAGTCTGCCCATCCATGCTGCTCGGAGTTTGGCAAAAGACTCCAAAGTATCCTTAGTTAACTTCTGTATCCTTTGAAGATGGCAATGGCTTCATGGCACAGTTTTGTACAAAGCCAATTAGAGCTGTGTCACACAAATGCCCTGAGGTTAACTGAGCTCTGACTCAAGTGCCAGATCTGTCAAGATTCTGTGGGTGGTAATGCATGTAAAAATAAAGTGTTTTCTGCACATGGTAGAAGACACTGCTAAACCCTTTTGACAAGATTATTATTGAGCCCACAAGAACACTAACACTAATGTAAAACCCTAAATCATGAAAATTTGGGATTTTGTAAAATGCAATATAATCAGGAATCTGTGATTTGTTAGTTATTTTTCAATTTTATTTTAATGACACATTTAATAGACACATAAGCCTAGTAAATATAAGATGGATGGGCAGATAGATGGATTGAAGTTGGAAGGAGCGAAATGACATGTTTTATCAGGATATCAAATTGTGTTTCTCTTTAAAATTATTCTGTTTAATCATGAATATGTAAACACGCGGGGAAAAAGCTAATTTAGGATTGTGTGACCTCTTCTGGTAACTTTGTGAGCAGCAACACTCTTTTTGGTATACTTTAAAATGTAATGTGGCAGTAATAGTTAGTGCAACACTATTAGTTAATTAGATTAATTTATCATACAGTAAATCATACAGAAACAATTCATACATTCTCTATTTATCTAATAGTATAATGGCCACTATGATAATAAAATGACAAAAGAAAAAATGAGTCATGATTAATCCATTGAATGAGTTTAATGACTAAAATCATATTAAAATGCCATCATAAATATAATGGACTATAATTATCCTTCTGAATAAATGTATTGAGTCATCTCATACGCTAATTATTTATGCTTGATGCTAATAGACTAAGTATTAGTTGAAAATAAGTGGTGAAAGACCAGCAATTCCCTCATTTACAATACATGGCAGAATTATATCTTATGGAGCAAATAACATTAGGAGTTTATAGAGGTGAATGAAGAACAAGACATTAAAAAACTTGATGAAAATGCATTACGTTTCTACAGGTGCTGTCCATTAGACACAGAATAATGAAGTCCATGCATTATATCTAAATAACATTTTCTAGACTTCAGCTAATATAAACCTGCTTCCCTCATATTTCACACTACATGCATTGCTGTTATTGCAAATTTCATAAACTGAACTTTCTCTTCGGACGCTCTGGCATCTTTTTTGCTGGACTTTCTTTGTCTTTCCTGAGGAGACATAGAATAAAAATGATCAATGCATGCAATTGCATGTATTTAATGACATTTTATGAAAGAATAAGAGTATAATACATTACTCAAATGATATTTTTCTTAAATTAAAGTACACAACACAGGACTTTCTAGCAAACACGCTTCTGTTACATACTTTGTTATTCTCTCAAACTTTGAGTCCCTATAAAAAGGGCTCTTCTTCATCATGCACAATAGTATGATGTCACACAAGAAAGAACCCTGGAGAAAAGACAATCTTGTTAGCAGCCATTTGTATAAAATGGATGATGTATGACAACAACATTATGACTTGGAATTTTGGTCTTGCAAGTTATTAATGCTCATTTAAAATAATGTCTGCTTCAGACCTATATGTTACAATGGCCTTGTGTAGATAAAGCCAACGACCAAGTAATAATGTTATTACAAAAAAAAAAAAAAAAAAAAAAAATATCTGAATATTTACTTACAGCAGTCATTAAAGCTAGAACTGATACTATGCTGATGAGGGTATTAATAAAACAAAACTTTCTTGCCTGGAAAAGATTAAAAAAAACACACACAAAGATTTATACACAATTATAAATACAGCACCTGTGGATTGCTGTCATTGAGTCACATACCGTTCCAAACACCATGACTTTAAAATGAAATCCAAACACTTTGTAAAGTGTTCTTTGCTTTTCTCCTCCAACATTTGAATACTCAGCAAATCTGAGAACACAGTTATTGGAGATCTTGAGCATAACAAATACTTTTATACATTTTCATTTATTCTTCAAACATTTACTTTCACAGTAAACATAAGGGCTCTCAGAAAAAAAGAGCACTTGATAAGACTTGTGTACCTGAAGTTAAATCCAGTTTTGTTGCTGCCCAGAGTAATAAAGCTGTATTTAGGATTGCAATAGTAGTCTTCTTTATCAAGGTCACAGCACCATTCAATCATAATCCCAAATGAACCGCCCTGACATTATATGAAATTGTTAGATTCAGCATAATAAGCACATAATGTCATAATGCCACACATTAAACCCACTTTTAGTTCTCACCTTCACGGCGATTTCTTGAAAGCTATGTCCAGTTTTGTTTATAATATCTCCCAGACGAAATATAGGACAGTATGGGTGAACAATTTCATCATACAAGCATTTTTGGAAATATGCTCGACTTTCGTTTGGTTTGACATTTGATCTGAGAAGAAAAAAAAAACATTTGAAATAATTAAGTGTTAATAATATATAGTGTTATATTCAGTAAATAGTTTTGACATAAAAATAGACAGGATACTCATTATTAATGAACGCATCAGTGAGAGTCTTACTTTGAGAAGTTGAAATGGGAAAATCTGATGAAGTTCTTTATGTACACGGTAAAGTTTTCAGCTTGTCTCACCACATTGGCTTCGCTTTAAAAAAAAAAAAACACTGGGGTGTCAGTGTGACTATTGAAAAAATATACTGACACTTTTTTGCAACATGGAAGTATAAGCTATTTTCTATGAATGTGCAGGGCACTGAGAATAAGTGGAGTCATAAACTATTTGCGCTACAAATTATGTTAATAATTACGACAATACATTAAAATAACAGGCTATGGTAAGAAATGCCAGTTTTGCAATGTAAAGCAGCATAACAAGCTGTTTTGTACAGAAATAAATGGAAAAGGATAACACTGGGAGAGGATGAAGAGGGTGACACTGGAAGCGCCGATTGACGAATGACCGCGGCCTTAAGTTAAAAATAAAAGGATACTTTGAGTAGAAAAGACTTCATAGCACTGTCTGGGTTCAAAATATTATGGGATTTTAAAAGAGTGTGAGGAAAATATTCTTACTCCGGCTCCTGAGCTTTTTCAGGGGGACACCAGCCACGTATTTCACAAATGCCATCAGAATGCTCAGCAGTTTTCAAACAAACGCCAGTCTTAATTCCTAGGGAGAATGAAGCACTTTAGTATGGCATTAAAAAACCGGGGAGCACATATTTATTTGTCAGCGTAGCTTTAGTATCAAGCAGTTTAAAGTTATACAGTACCATGTCCAGCCCTAACAACCTCTTCCGCTATACAGTCTTCGTCCTTAGTGCAAATGGCATCGGGTAATGATTTCTAAAAGAAGATAAGCCTCCTGTTAGCAATAAATAGATTTAGACCTATACTGAAAATGTGAAGTTATTTTGTGAGGAGCTTATTTTCCCAAAGGTCTAAAGCTACGTTCAGACTGTCAGTCCAAATTAAATTTTTGTGCATTTCCAATTGAAATCAGAGAATGTCCAAAAATCACATGAAATGTGATTTGTACAAATCCGTTTCGAGCTACATTCAAATGTGATTGCAGTTATGTAAATCTGTTTCAGTCTGACTGATCCGATTGGATTCCAAGTGGTTCGTGTGACTTTCTCTCCATGTGAAATGTAGGCCTAAACAATCTGTGTACTTTTTGATCATTTAATTACCTGTTTGGAATAGAATAACGAGAAATGAAAACCAGCTTGTTGAAAACCACAGAAAAATTAGATTTTGGCTTGATTTAAATTTTTTAGTTTGTGGTTGCAAATCGGTTCATTTGTACACATGGGCGGTGCTGAAATGCCCCTTTCAATCGGATTGGTCAAACCGCACCGCCTTCAGTGTGAGTTTTTCTTTAGTTAGTCCGGCACTGGCAAATGCACTTTAATAAAATAATGTCTGAAACCAACACTCACTGTTAACTATAAGCACAATATTTGAAGCAGAAATATGTTGCTGGTCACGTAATTCGTGCTGCTGCGACTTGCAAACAACCCCATTAATGTGAGACACAGTATATGACAGATTATTTTAGCATGTGTATTTACCATTGATAAATAGTGCAAATAGTTAAGTGTCTTTGGATAAAAGGGAAGTGGAAATATCAATAATAGGCTGAACTGTACCATAACAATGTCTTTAACATAGATGTCCGTAGATGACTTAACTGTTACATAGAGTCACGGATAACACAGTTTGTATACAGTATAAAATCATTACGTCTAAAGTTCCCATAAAACATCAACACCCAAAAACCCAATGGGAATATATCCTTGTTGTGTAAAACATCTATAATATTCCGTATAATACAGAATCCACATTGAACTGATATGGAACACACTTTGTTCCGTATTTTTGAGAATCAATTCAGTGCAAATCCATGACAGACACATAGTTTCTAATATATATGTCAGACAGACAATGAATGAAGACCTGCTATAATGGACAATTTGTGGACTTGGCGGGCTCTGACGCATAATGACGTAGAGTTGTCTCATTGGTCGCACGTCATTGGATGTGCTACCCATGTGTGCTACTCCTGTTGGTGTACTGTTTTTTTGTATATAGTAGGGAAGAATTTGATTTTGGATGCAGTGACGGTGTGGACCTCAATAATTTTAGATCAGATTACAATCGAATAAACAAATAATCAGATTTGGACTGACAGTGTAAACGTATAAGGTTATAAGTGTTGGGAATTTTCTGTGCCTCATTATGGATTTTACATTTACGCCAATTTGGCGACAAACAAGTGACTGGCTTTGTGAGTGAGTCTGGATCAAGCGTTAAAATGAAACTCCCCATTATGTTATTCAAGGATCAAATTACCATTTTATCTCCGCATAAATGCACCGAATTCAATACAATTCTTACTGTTGCATCAAAAGCAGCTTGTTGTGGCACAGATGCTGAATAAAATTACTTAAGAAGTCAAAAATAGAAATTACAGTCAGTTTGTGGGTTCAGAATAACAACACAATTGCGATGGAAAAGAGGGTTCAACTGGATTCTGGAAATAAAATGTCCTTTTAACCCAAAATGCATGTATAAATGTCACCTTAGATTGATAACATAAGAAATGGTGACATTAAAATTATTACCGCCAAACCAGCAAGCCTATAAAATCAATACAGTGTGGTTTAAGAGAAGCAGCTAAAAAGCACTTTAGTGTTTCACTAGCCATATCGGCATACATCCGTTGATAAAAGATAACCAAAGTGCTTTTACATGTTAATGGCCTGAATGGAAAATGTAAATCTGAGGTAGCAAGGAGGGCTTGGTTGTCATTTGTAATCAGCTACTGATGTTAGTAATTAGCATATAATTGCACTGAATAGCTATTGTACATCCACCTCTGAATAACTAACAGCTATATGTCACTGTAAAAAAATAGGCTAAAACAAAACCGGAATGTCTTTTAGGGAACAGCTGATGTGTTAAAAGTGTTGTTGAAAGCACAGATGTGTCGAAGTCTGTTGCCCTAGTAATGTTTCCCCTTACGTTAGACAGTCCAGGAAACGGGGAACAGACTTTGTGAGGCAAACTGACAGTTAAAATTAGTTTTACCTCTGAACAGTTGACAAATTTTTGGTTTGGCGTCTCGATGAAATTGGTTGTTATAAACAGAAAATCCTCACCCTGGAAACAAATATTAAAAGACCAAAATCAAATTAATGAAGCAAAACATTAATCATATAACGGACACAGAACTAATAAGAACTTTTTCAGACAGTGTGTTTTGACTGACCTGTTTTGGGTGAACATAGTCCTCTGGTCCCCATAATTCAGAAGCTGTTGTGTTGACGCGTGCAACTCCTTTAACTTTAGTTAACACAGAACTCTCGACAGTATCATCTTTTGCCTGGTATTGTTTCTTTTCAATAAGTACCCACCTGTGGAGCAAAAACATGTTTAAAATTAGCCTCTCATACCAGTAAAAACTCAAATAAGAGAAACAGATAGAGAAAGTCTTTTTTTTCTATTGCTGGCATCATCACATCAAATGCTTTTGTTTTTACCCCAAGCAAAACTAAGGTTTTGTTAGGGTTAGACTACATTAAGTAATTATAACTCTTACCCTATGAGATATCCAATGACGGAGAGTTGAAAGATTCTGTAAAAGAGTCCCACTTTCTTATTCTGCGTGGCCACATATTTGACTGTTGCATAATCAAAGAAATATAGTGGATGTAGAATGTTCCACTGAACCATTCTTGCTCCTGCTGTTGGAAAATGATGTGCTGCTCACACACGCCCTGCATCCTTAGAGACACATTGTCGTGCATCACGTCATATTTGCAATTTAAATGTCATCTTCATAATCCACTCCTACATTTATTTTCTTGTTTATTATGTAAATTCAAAAACCCATGTTCATCATAAGACTTATTAAACTTGCCTTGAAAAATGGTGCCGCTTTAGCAGATTTAACGAAATCATTTATTTAAAATAGAAATTTGTTGTAGTTCATATTTGTAACAATATAGACTACTATTCAAAAGTTTGGGGTCAGTAGTTTTTTGTTTTTTTTTCTTGAAAGAAATTAATACATTTATTCAGCAAGGATGTGTTAAATTGATGAAAAGTGATAGTAAATATTTATTTTGTTAGAAAAGATTTCTATTTTGAATAAATTCTGTTTTTTTTTTAACTATTTATTCAACAACGAATCATGAATAAAGTATCCAAAAAGTATCCAGTTTCCAAAAAAATAAAGCAGCACAACTGTCTCCAACATTGATTATAACTGAGTATCAAATCATATAAGAATAATTTCTGAAGGATCACACTGAATGAATGAATGAATGAATAATTTATTTCTTTTCATTTCCTTTTCCTCTTCAGAACATGGTCATTGATAACAGAGCATATTTAAACAAAAAATAATAAAAACAAAATCTCAGCACGTTCAAAAGAGAAGAAAAAGAATATTGGAAAAAAAAGGAGAAGGAAGAAGCTAACTTATGTTTTCCTTCCCCTTTGAAGGAAAGACTGAAGACTGAGCTATGATCCTTTTTAGAAAGAAATGGTATCTCCGAGAATTTTTAATCAGGATTTAGACCGTATTGAGACAGCTCTCATTAGAGCCACAAATGTTTTGCTCTTATCATCCGATTGTGGTTTCTCTTTTATCTCTATTAGTCTCTATTATTTCTATCTATTATCTCTCTATTAGTGTTACTTAATCTTAGTGCTGCATTTGATACCATCGACCATAAGATTATTGGTCTCAAATGGACTCAAAAATGAAAGAAAATGGAAAGTGGAAATGCATTAGCATGGTTTAAATCATACTTACTATCAGTTTGTAGCAGTAAATGAAGAAATGTCTTATCGATCACAAGTTCAGTATGGCGTACCACAAGGCTAAGTACTAGGACCGTTACTGTTCACTCTGTACATGCTACCCTTGGAAGATATCATTAGGAAGCATGACATTTGTTTTGTTTTTTTCACTGTTATGCTGATGATACTCAACTCTATTATATTTCTTCACACCCTGATGAAACTTACCAATTCACAAAATTAATGGAATGCATAGCTGATATAAAAAATAAATAAATGGATGACCAGCAACTTCCTACTACTTAATTTTGAAAAACAGAGATTCTAATTATTGGACAAAAAAACTTCTTCATGTGATAATCCAGAATACTGTCTTAACTCTTGATGGCTGCTCAGTCAAGTCTTTGTCGTTGGTTAAGAACCTGGGTGTGCTCTTTGACACCAACCTTTTATTTGAAAGTCACGTGTCTGTAAAACTGAATTTTTTCATCTTATAAATATATCTAAATTGTGTCATATGCTCTCAATGAAAAATGCAGAAAAATTGGTTCATGACATCAGGGCTATAGATTATTGTACCGGTAATGCTATTATGAGTGGTTGCCCTGTTAAAAAAAATAAGTTTTTTTTTTTACTGCATTTTTGATCAAATAAATGCAGGATTGATGAGCATATGAGACTTCTTTCAAAAACATTTAAAATAGTGATGTTTCCAAACTCTTGACCGTGTGTGTGCGTGTGTGTGTGTGCGTGTGTGTGTGGCCAGGTAAACCCTATACTATGGCTAATTTTTTTGGTCCCGATGAGGAAAACAGTTTAGGCTACTGTAGGCTACTTCTGTGCGTGTGTGTGTGTGTATGTTTGTGTTCTGTTTTCTCTTAATACGTAGGCTACTTACATTTAACAATTAGAAGTTTTACATTTAACCTTAAATGGAGGAAAACTTTCTGAATTTGAATTTTTTTTTTTTTTTTGAATTTGAAGTCTTTATTTCGTACATAAAAAGAAAGTAAATAAAACAATGTTTAAAAAAAAACTTCGGAAAAATCTAAACAAATGAGCCGCAAAATATATATATGTATAATTCTTTGCTGTTGACATAGGCTACTTCTATTATATGTGCGAAAAGGAGTAGGAAGAAGTAAAACTTATATACTCCTACCCCTTAAATACTTTTATTTTAAAATATTAGACTCTTATTATAGCAAAAGCCCGTTCCGTCATACTTCACACTCTAGGGTCGATGTTATCGGAAGTTTTACACACTCATCTCAATCTATGCACACATTGGTCAGCTTTCTGCAACCAGAGTTGGACTTCGTCATTGAAACACTAAATAACAGGAAATAAATCATGACTAAATACGAGGAGGTTGCTGTTCATGGATACGAAGAATTTTCTAAAGCTGTGTCTGAAAGAAAAGGAAAAGAGATATTCGCTTATTTCTCTGGAGATAAAGATGGCCAGGGCAAGAGCTGGTGTCCCGACTGTGTGAAAGGTGCATTAAAAATGTGCAGTAGTTGTGCTGTTTTTTTTTTGTTTTTGTTTTTTTTGTTTAATTCACATATAAACTGTCTTTTCTCCCCACTGCAGCAGAGCCAGTGGTCAGAGGAGAGCTGTCTCATCTGCCCGAAGGATCTGTCTTCATCTACTGCCAAGTAGGAGATAGACCATAGTAAGTATACATTTTGCCAATTAGAATTTAAACAGGAATCAGCCATGTATGTAGCTGCATGTTGCATTATTCTGCCCATGTATAATTGCTGTCATACGTCTGTGTTTATTGGACTATGAACTTTGACAGCAGTGCACAATGCATAGACAGAATCCAATAAAAGATAGTGCTTCGGTTTGCTTTTTGCCTACACCTACTACATTCACTGTTGTTCTTGCTAGCTGGAAGGACCCAAATAATGACTTTAAGAAGACCCTAAAGCTGACTGGAGTACCCACACTACTGCGATATGGAACGGTAAATATCAGTAAATGTTTTTTGACCAGTGTATTTGACTGCTATATGCTTCTTGCTAATGTAGCCTAATATACATAACAATCCATAGTGAAATCTAGTTATAAAATAAATAATTGATAAATGTATCCATATATAATGTGTTTTTTCTTTTCTTTTTTGTTTTAGCCCCAGAAGCTGGTTGAAGAAGAGTGTTTTAAAGTTGACCTCGTTCGGATGATGTTCACGGAGGATTAATGTCCTGTTGCATATATTGCTGGATTGCATCCACCATTTTAAATATGATTTACATGGTTTTTCCATTGTTGGTTTTGTCATATGTAATCTGTGCTCTTGCTCTGGCAAACAAATTGTGGCCCTGGTATTATGTTGTGAGTTTGTGCTGTGGTGATTGTACATGTTTTGAAAGTGCTGCTCATATTAAAACTGTTTGTATAGAAGTAAGCTTTGCATAATCAGACATTTCAAATTTACTTTCGATTGATTTTCAAAACAAGGGACTTTGACAGTATAGCTTCAATTTAAGAAAGAGGAACAGAAACGGTTACAATTTCAGTAAACATTCATAATGAAAATCGTCTTATAATCCTTACCTAGAAGATGATGCTTGTTTGTAATCAATAAAATGTTTAGAAAAATGCATCTTCATTTCTTGTACTCATTTTCAAAGAGTTTTGCAAGAGTAATTGTGGGGGTTTAATGCAGTTCAAATAATGTGATAGGAAATGAATGTGCACCAGTGGAGTTGAGGTAGCCTAATATACTGTAAAGTTGTATGATTTTTGTGTTTATTACACAGAATCTGTTTTAAATGTTAGTGTTCACCATTTTAGATCAGAGTATTCTGGTAAAATGAGTGTTTAATACTGTTCTGTTTTTATTTATTTTTTGTCAAATGAACATGGGATGCATGAGGTAATTATTGTGACTGTGGCATCACTTTTCTGCTGTAGTCAAAGGTGTACAAGTCAAGTCACATTTATTTATATAATGCTTTTTACAATACAGATTGTTTCGAAGCAGCTTTACAGAGATAACAGGAAAATAATGCACAAAAGTTTGTTTCCAGATGAAAATAGGTCAGAAGTCAGACTGATTTGGAACAATCAGAATATTATCGAGTTCCATCTGGTTTAAGTTCAGAGTCATCTCTACAGGATGGATGATTTGTTGAGGCTAAGTGCTGATGTCTGTAGTGTCGATGAGCCCTTTGATGAGAGACTTATGCCAATATTATTTTTGAGGCTTTTAAAAGAAAGGATTGTTGTGGTCTATGGTATCAAATGCAGCACTAAGATCACGTAACAACAAAAGAGAGATACAACCACGATTGGATGATAAGAGCAAATCATTTGTTACATTTGATAGGCAATATTAGACAATATAGTTTACTTAAAAACACACTTGAGTATGCAAGCCACGGTCTAATACCATTACTCCAATACACAGGGCAACTTTTTTGAGCAATGTTGTTTGGACACTTTCCCAGTGAGAATGGTCCACAAGGATCGGTTGTGGACCTTGTGTCTCACCATTGATGACAACATTGCCCAAAAAAAGTTGCCCTGTGTATGAATCTCTCCATGCATGCATCCATACTAAAGAGAAAATGTAGGTATCATTCTATGCAGAGACATAGATATATTGTGTGATGATGGTTTTCTGCTTGACATCTTTATTAATTTCTTTGTGCACTCTCTGGGCAAAGGATGCAATTGCACCATCTTGCCACTAGATGTCGAGAAAGTCTCACAGTGGGAGTCGGCGCTGTTGCTGAGGGACGGTCTATAACGAGAGCGTGCATTCCATAACAGCGCTCACTGTGGAGACACACACGACGGCCGCTGTCTCTCGACTCGAACCCGTGCGGCGACTCCAGGACAGCCAAACGGCACCAGGGCATGCGGATATTCATCCAGGACTTTGGGTTTTATTTCGAATCACCTGAACAAGCAAACGAAACCTAAAGCAGTCCGCTTCGAGAGCTCAGCAGCGATGTCGGAGTTTCTGGTGAATCTGCTCGGAGAGCGGCTCGTCAACGGGGAGAAAGCCGAGGTGGATGTTCATGCGCTGGGCAGTAAGCTGTCTTTGCTCGGGCTCTACTTCGGCTGCAGTTTAAACGGTCCTTGCAAGCAGTTCAACGCGAGTCTGTGCGAGTTTTATAGCAAGTTTAAGAAATCCTCAGAGCACAAGGACAAATTAGAAATCGTCTTCATCTCATCGGATCAGGACCAGAAACAGTGGCAGGACTTCTTGCAGGAGATGCAATGGCCGGCGTTGCCTTTTAAAGACAGACACAAAAAGGTAAGGTGATTTAACAGATGACATAAGATTGGAAATGTGTTACATCAATATAAATGTCTTTTTTTTAATGACGAAGAGACGAACATTGTGTGTGTGCAGGTGTAAAGGACAAAAGAAGTCTGATATACTGCTGTACACCCTTTGACCATGTATAATGATCATTTTCAGAGGATAACCTGATCAGGCTAATCACTAAATTCTTCTCAATGCCAGGGAACTAATTAAAACATCTTTATTAGCATTATAAAAGTCTAAAACTTAGCAAACTGAGGTTTTTGAAACATCTTTAAAGATAGCAACATTTCTAACATTCACCTAGGGTAAATACATTTTTTTTATTCTTCATCCCTATCTAAATTTAAATCTAAACGTTTTTATTCAGTTGTTCTTGAAGCAAAAATAGACTTGGCTTTTGTGGATGGAAAAGGGAATGAAGCCTGAACAATTTTCGTTATAAGATACACAATGAAAACCAGCCACACTTCAATTTAATTATATGACTCCTATCTAACAGTAGCCTATATGAATTAACTGTAATCCGAGAGAATAATGAGGCTTTTGTTGTAGGCAGGTGTCTTTTTATTTAAGCTAGAGGCTTGATGCTGCTGGCTGTTGTAAAGGTGAAAACACATCCTTTACAAACCACAGTAAACATATACTTACTTTAACCACCCTGGCCTAAACCATTACACTCATATGAGATACTCATATTAGCTGTCATTTACCTACCTACACAATCAAAAAATGCTGTCTAGTTAGGTCACTTTAGTTTAGTAGTTAGACACAGTGTGTAAAAAAAGTGCTTTTCATTACAAAAATGAGTCATCATAAATTACCGATTAACACTTTAAGCCATTACATAATTATTATAGAAATAATTAGTTGCTAAATGCATCTTTACAAGGTGAATAAATGTTTTTTTTTTATTATTTGGTGTTGACTGTGTGCTCAAGTTGTGCGATAACACATAAATCATTATAATGCGTCTAGATGATTTATCTGTCCTTTTAAATTAAGGCTGTAGAAATTAACTCATTTTCTCTCTCTCTCTCTCTCTCTCTCTCTCTCTCGCTCTCTCTCTCTCTCTCTCTCTCTCTAATAGCTAAACTAACCTGGTTTTAAAGTATTTCATTATTGAAAGCACATTTTTTGTTCAAATTTTTACCAGGCCTGTTTTATGTAATTTATTAGAACAAATCTGGAAATTATTACTGCGTCTCAGAACACTTTTAATTGAGTTATCCTCTTGCGGTTGTAAATATTTCAGGTTGGCAGCTCTGGTGTACCAGGGATGAGAAATAACCTTTATTAAATCTGGATTACCATCAGAAAAAAAATGAATTCATTTATCACGATTACCATTCTAAACACAGGCTCGGCGTTGCATAAATCGCATTGTAAATTCTGTTGTGTGTCATTGTGTTTTTTTTCACCCCTGATATGTTTACCACCAAATCATTTGGTTGATACTTTAGCGCAGTATTGTGTGTCTTGGGTTTTTGAGTGTTTGTTTTTTATGGATAATACCATTAGGATCATGCTCAGATTTGCCTGTGTGTGCTGGTATCCATTTTGGTCCACTGCACCAGCTCCACCTCCTGCAGCATGCCGTAGCACGTCTCATCGATGAGCAAACGATGTACATTTAATTGCTCATACTGGTTTACAGTGGCATCAGTGGCAGCCATATAAATATTTCAGATAAAATCTGCCATCATGCTGCATGCTGATTGTATTGCATGCAGTGTTTTGGTAATGCAGATTGACAAATGCTGTGTGTTTACATGTGTGGTGAAAAGAGAATGTTGTTTTATGATTATTATTGTTTTATGATGAATGTTGTTTGTTTTATATTTTATGATTTAGCTTTGATTTGGTTGGTTGGTTGTGTTGTGAAAGATTTATTATTTTTCAATGATTTTGCACAGGTCAAGACTACTTTTGAATTGTTTCTATTATTATAATAATTATTATTATTATTTAAACAAATTTTACATGCTCACATGGTTTTGCACAATATCATGCATCATACTCCAGAAGAAGAGGGTGGGGGATTTTCTTAGGTTTTGGATCTTGGCTTTTTAGCTTGTTTGGTGTTTAATAGAATGTTTTCCCATGTATTTTAAGATTACAAATATAATTTACATCCAATTATTTACAGAAATTTCCACATCTCTGCTCTAACACACTTAGCCTATAGTTTCATGCCTTTTCCTTGACAGTATTGTTTTTTCCCCTCAATTTACATAGTGCATTTAGCTCTTCTGTGTGAAAATGTATAATATTCTTGTCTAAAATTACATTTTTGTCCTTCAATGTGGCCTTCACAATAAATTTGGTGTGTGTGTGTGTGTGTGTGTGTATATATATATATATATATATACATACATACACATATACATATATACGCACACGCACACTACACAAATAATTACATTACATTGATTCTTCAGATTGACAAATGTGGAAAAAACAAGCAATTTATTGTGAAGGCCATATTATTATATTTAGATATTACAGCATATTCTTCATCTATTTCTGCTTATTAGCTACACTTTTACATTGCTTGCCTAAGTGTGTTTGCCGTTAGCAAGGCTGACTAAGCCGTAACATAATACGAAGCCCTAAATAATCCTAAACCATTGTAGCTTGCTGTTACGTGGATCACACATCTTAGATTTGACTTGAGGGTCATTTAGTTTGCTCTTAATGGGAGATGTAAATGGCCCAGGCTGGTCCAGATAAGACTGTTTGTTTTGAAGTAATAACATCTTGCGTCCTGCAGAGAGTCTTAGCTGTAAAGACTTTGACCGACCAATGTCACGTTCCTATTTGCTGTCCCAGCATGAGGATGAATCGTCTTTCCTCTCTTCATGGGAGAGTGAATATAGTGGCTCTTTTGTGTGTGTGTTCTTTGAAGGCTTTAATTGCTGTGTGATGTTGGCCTGCTGCAAAGCAGAGTTGAGGTTGTGGTAGCGAAGGTTTTTAAGTGGTTCATTTCCCCCTCTCTCCTGGGGCAGAAGAGAGGCGGCTCTGTGTATCGCTGCAGGACTATAAACGGCCTACTATAGTAACTGAAAAAATAGACATTACTCCAGGATAAGTTTTTCAATTAGTAGCACGCTACATTACATTCACATGACCTCATTGTGTTTGTCACAAACTTATCACATTACTTGTTTACTTCAGAAATGGAAGGTCAAGTCCAGCGCTTTGCATTGTGGGACACGGTATTCCTCACAGCATTGCTCTTGTATTTTTCTCATTGTAGTTGGTCATCCAGGTATTTAATGTAAAATAATGTGCACTGTATAAATAGGCTACTATAAACTGTGCAG